GCAAGCGCCCACTGCGTTGTACAGTCCCGGGCCTGTAATGATGCAGGCTTCACTCAAAACAAAAAAATAATATTTACAAGATCAGTAATAAAGCGACCGATCTTGAATGGCGATAGTCTGCCTGTTGACGTCATGAGATACAACGTCAAACAATTTAAACAAAAAGTGCGATAATCTGATTAAAATAAAGATCTATATTTTGTTTATTTTTTTTTTACTGTCGATGGCCTACACTACATGAAGATCTAACCAGTTGTACTGGGAGGTCGTGTCAGGGGTCATACCTATGACGTCAGACATTGATTAATCAATCAGTGTTGACATTTCTAGTGGTTTACCCACAATTCCGTGCATCGCCATAACAGATGGTTTCATCGGCTAATCCCTCACGACATCCAGAACGTAGGTTATATAACAACTCTTCCAGATCCTAGTGTAGTACAGACAAATAAAACAAAATTTCGAACTATAAAAAACGAAATGAAATAGGATCTGTGTTTTAATCAGATCGTAAGAGCGATAATCCGGATAAAATCTCGGAGAATGCTAAAAATCAAAAAATTAATAAAGTGTAGAGAGCAAATAGGACCAAAGCCCAACAACGCAAAACATTCTGCAGTGCAAAGGGCTAAGACTCTACTCTGATAGTAAGCGCAGGAGGACCTCACTACATGCAAGATAAACCTACGAAGAAAACAAACTACACAGATGTTGCAAGAACCAATATCAATTCAAGTAAGATAACTATTGTAACATGTATGTTAGATACACACATGACTAACAATCAGTAATCAGGCTTCTAAAAAGGAAATCCAAGGCTAGCGAAAGAAAACGATATTAATGATACCCAATTTAAGGGCATAATCAAAATCGAAGACTTTTTTTTTTGACTTAACCTACTGTAAAATATCTCCAAAAGCCTTGAGACCTATTTAAATTTTTACAGCAGGCAATATTTTATTCTTAAAGTAGTCGATAGCTTGGTAATCAAAATCCACATTTTCCACAGAACTCTTTGATTCAGGTAGGAAAAGACTTCTCATTGAGAACGTTTTCAGATTTGAATCAGGCTCTTGTAGATAGCTAATCCATTTGTCAAAAACCATCAGACAATACAAGGCACATGTATTGTTTCCTGGTTTCTGCAGTTTTAACTGATTCCATTCTTCAACCCAAAAAAACAAGCTCGGAGGAACCTCTCCATTAGAATCAAAGTACCAATATTTTCGTTTGAAAACAATTAGCATTGTACAATGAAGCATTTCACCCAATTCTTTCTCGTTTTCATTAGACACAAAGTGAACACATTTTGGAGAAAGAGGCAATTTAAGTAAAAATTCTTTACGTGCTAATTCTTCTGTGAAAACAAAGTCCTTGAAATGTTTCTTCAGGCGTGGATTATAATTTAGAATAATATTTAATTGTGATTTTTCAAGACCAAATTTCCTATAATCATCTACCGGTTTTTCTTTCATTGTTTCCACTATTTTCAATAATTCTTGTCTCTCCAGTGAAATGGAATGACTTGTATTGAATACCCCATCTTCAAGTGGTGGAGCTGTGGGGGTCAATCTTTCACTATTTACCAAATGTTTATCTTGTAGAGAATGACAAGGGAATGAGTCAGAAGTTTCCTGTAAATTTTGCTGTGGGTTTGCGGTATTGAAAGTGACTGCAGAATTAAACTTTTGATTCAAATATGCAGCTGATTCTAATACCGACTTATTTGATAAAACTGACTTAATGTTGGTCGATGTGTTTATAAACTAACAATATCAAAAAAACTAAATCTAGAATGGAAGACTTGGTAGTAAATTCTTCACTAGAAGAACTAACAGCAAATTCTTTGCTGGAAGAACTGATAGCAAATTCATCAATGGAAGAACTAACAGCAAATTCATCACTGGAAGCACTGGAATAAAATTTGTCGCTGGAAGCACTGTAAGTAAATTCTTTAGCTGTCTGGGCTGGAACATTAAGAACATCATCTTCCACTTCTTAGGATGTAACAAAATTAACATAAACTGAAGAACTACTGACATCACAGAATAATTAATTCTAGCACTAGCAGTAAATTCTTCCCTGAAAGCTGTAGCAATACAATCTTTGCTAGAAAGACTGGCAGCAAATTCTTTAAATATGTGGGATGTAACATTATGTACATCATCTTCAACTTCCTGGAATGTAACAAATTTAGTATCATCTTCCACTTCCTGGAACGAGTGGATTGGTACAAATTTAGCATCATCTTCCACTCCCTGGGACGAGTGGAGTGTGACAAATTTAGCATCATCTTCCACTCCCTGGGACATAACAAAATTAACATTATCTTCCACATCCTGGGATGAATAAAAATTAACATCATCTTCCACTTTCTCGGATGTAACAAAATTAACATCATCTTCCTGGGATGTAACAATATGAACATCATCTTCCACTCCCTGTGACATAACAAAATTAAAATGATCTTTCACTCCCTGGGACGTATTAAAATTAACATCATCTTCGACTTCCTGGGACGTAACAAAATTAACATCATCTTCCTGGGATGTAACAATATGAACATCATCTTCCACTCCCTGTGACATAACAAAATTAAAATGATCTTTCACTCCCTGGGACGTATTAAAATTAACATCATCTTCGACTTCCTGGGACGTAACAAAATTAACATCATCTTCGACTTCCTGGGATGTAACAATATGGACATCATCTTCCACTTCCTGGGGCGTAACATTATGAACATCATCTTCCACTTCCTGGGTTGTAACAAAATTAACATCATCTTCAACATCCTGGGACGTAACAAAATTAACATCATCTTCAACATCCTGGGACGTAAAAAAATTAACATCATCTTCAACATCCTGGGACGTAAAAAAATTAATATAATCTTCCACTTCCTGGGTCGTAACAAAATGAACATCATCTTCTACTTCCTGGGACATATCATGAACTGATACAACCAAATCACCTGAGTTCCCATTTAGCCTATAATCAGCTCCAGAAACTTCCTTTTTTTTCTTCTGGCAACAAGAAAATAAATTCACCATCTCTGTACACATCCAATAACAAGAAAATAGCTTCACCATCTTATCAAACTCCATAAAAATCCAATAACAAGAAAATAGCTTCACCATCTTATCCAACTCTGTACAAATCTAATAATAAGAAAATAGCTTCAACATCTCATCCAACTCGGTACAAATCTAATAATACTTGCAGGAAAAACATGTAGGCCTACTGAAAGCAACAAGATTGAAACAGACCGTTTTTATGAAAGATAAATTGTGACGTGTAAAGGAGTGTATGCAATATATGATTATAGGTATATATAACTTGATTTAAATAATTCATAATAGGCTTTAAATATTTAAATATTAAGTTGCATTACATTATGTAAGATTTAGATAAATCTTGTGTTTATTTTTAGATAAAGAGCTGGTCTTGCTCTATATATAATAGTTAAACAAGTGGTTACCATGCAAGATATGCCCACATTTTGCAAGAGATGGGACAGAAAACAAGCCCCCCCCCCCCCAAAAAAAAGTGATTTTTCGTACAATCAGAGGATATGATCTAGAGAGCAACGCTACGGTTTAATCTTATTTAGAATCTTTATACGAAAAGACAAAAATGTGACTTAAATCGTTCTTCCCCTGGACTCATATGTTTAGCAGCTAGAACTATTATATATCTTTAATCGCAGGTTTAATATGTTTAGCAGCTATGGGAGATATAATCTTGAGGTGTGTATATAAGAGCTATTATTTACTTTTAATATCAGGTTAATCCCATCAGTAGTTGCTATGGGAAATACAATATTGAGGTGTGTAAAGCTATTATTATCCCCCGCCTTTCGAAGAAAGCAGGGGATTATTAAATTGGGTCTGTCTGTAAGCAGAGATAAGCAATTTGATTGGTTGATGGTTTGGGACACGACAGCAGTACTGACGTGTTTCGGTACATCAGGTCACATCTTGTCACGTCAACTATATGTACACCATGGACTATTGAGTATACTATTCAAGTGGAAAAAAATTGTCATTTTGAAGTAATACTTCAAGACCAAACTTTTTAATATTAGTTGTTAGTATAGGTCAAGATAATCTAATATGTATAGGTTAAAGGTTACTGAAATACAAAGTAATGTGATAGTAGGCTTTAAATATCGAAAAATTTCATAGTGGGACTGGAAGGAAACAAAATAGAAGTTCAAAAATCGGCGCCCTAGAATTATTGTCACGTTGGCTGACTTCAAAAGTTTGCAAAAATCGGAATCAAAATGGCGGCTGAATGTTGATTTGAAGGTTCTGTTTAAAATGCAATTTGACGGTCAAACGGTCAAAAATGTTACGGAACAAGGTCTATGAAAATTAAAGATAATATCTGGGGCTAACACCATCATTTTTAGTCTATTTTTAAAATGGAGAGAACTATTTATGTTTGTGAAATTTCTCAAAGTTTCTGGAAGCCGTCACAAAATTTTTTGATTACATCATTACATTTTTCATTACATCAATACTTTGACTAAGTACGATAATGAGCATTTTCTGCTCAGGGTAAGCATAGCGATAAGCAATTTGATTGGTTGAGACTTTGGCACACAATGTTCAAACTCAATGTAGGTGTCTATTAAGTGAATGCCTTGACAATGTTTGATGATGTGCATTTTCCACTAAGGATGCTTTGGGACAAGATAACTTTGATTCTAACTGATGGAGAGTGATGGAACTTAGTGTATAGTTTCAATACCAGGTACTTCAAATACTTGACTGTGTTAGATCATGAACATTTTATGTGTAGACTAAGCATAGATAATCAGTTTGATTGGTCAATATTTTACAATTAATTAATATGTGTAATCTATTTATTTTGGAATTTCGGCAGGTGACATCAACCTCACTGTTGGCTTCTTTACTTTTTATATCAGGTAAATCCCATCAGTAGTTGCTATGGGAGATATAACCGCAAGGTATGGTGTAAGAGTAATTACTTACCTTTAATTCCAGGTTTTATATGTTTAGCAGCTATAGCTATTCCTGATAGCATTCCCCCACCACTTATTGGAACTAAAATGGCATCTAAATCTGGCACCTGTTCTAGAAATTCCACGGCTATTGTTCCCTGAAACAGATGTAGAGATACCAAGACCATCAAGGCATGGGTTCTAAAACAAGCCAACTTTGAGGCTGATGTCCCCCGCTGACACATTGATGACACATATTAATTAATCACACATTTATTTTTTTTCAAAAGTATCGAGCATTCAAACTGATTATCAACTATACACTAAGTTTCATCACTCTCTATCAGATATAATCAAAGTTATCTTGTCATAAAGCATCGACCAATGAAATTGCTTAGCTTTAGCTTGAAATGTTAATCATTGAGCTTAGTCAAGACATTCACCTAATGAACATCTACATCAAGTTTAAACGTTCTACCTCAATTAAAAGCAGAGTTGTTATGTTCCAAAGTCTTGACCAATCAAAATGCTTATCGCTCTTTAGCCTAAGAATAAAATTATCACCATCAAACTTAGTCAAGGTAATGATATAATTAATCTATACTCAAGAGTTTTGTCGCTCTCAGTTAATTATAACCAAAGTTATCGTGCCCCAAAGCATCAACCAATCAGATTGCTTATTTTTTTTTTTTTTTAAACAATATTTTTATTCATTAAATTTGAATTTGGATTGGGGAACAGGCTATGCCTATGTGTAACCCCTCTCTCTGATTTAGGTACATGTACACATTATAAATATTTACATACATACATACATAATTATAGAGCATATATGATACATCATGGATAATATAGAGACTTAGATGATTATACAGAGTGCAGGGCTTGGAATGACTTAAGAGTTGTTTATGGAGATTTAAATATTTTTGATAAGGAAATAAATTGTTGGACTTCTTGGAAAATAAGTGTGTTTATCTCTGGACTAAGTTTTGTTGACCCATACAACAGACAACTGATTGTTTTATGATTATGTTGAAGGTTATGGATTGTCCGTTTTCTTGCATCTGAATATAAGTGGCATACGAGTAAATAGTGTTCGGTATCTTCGAATTTGTGACCACAGAGGCAAGCAGGGCTATCATCGACGTGTCTGAGGAATTTATGGCCTTGTAGGTTCGAGCAGCATAATCTTAGTTTACAGTGGATTATTTGTAATTTTCGTATCCCTGTATAGTAATCAGATTGCTTATCTCTGTTTACTGTAAGCAGACAAAACTAAAGTTATCATGTCCCAAAGCATCAACCAATCAAATAGCTTATCTCTGCTTACCCTAAGCAGAAAATGCTCATCTTCGAACTCCATCAATACATTGACCTAATAAACACCTACACCAAGTTTGAACATTCTAGCCCAATTAGAAGGAGAGTTATTGTGTCCCAAAAAGTGTGACTGACAGACAGACGGACAGACGAACCCATTTTAATAGTCCCCTGTTTTCTTCGAAAGGCGGGGGACAAATAACACAAGTAAATTCAGAATCAGATCCTTTTTACATGTGCCTATTTTTTTAATTTTATTTGAATTGAATAAGAAAAGGGATCTGGGAACAGGCATAGCCTATATCACCCATCTCCCCGCATTATTTCGTTGGATTAGACCTAATAGACCAAGAGCCCAGGGGGGTCAACCTAGCTGAAACATGTACGAATTTTCTCCTATATGGTATCAATGCATGTATATCATATCATATGGTGGTGGGTGTGGTATTCCACTCCCAAAATGCCATCCATGCCCCCCAACTAGGCTAGATTAGCTCTAAAGTGTACCACATGAAAATCGTACAGCAGTGTACCGTACATCTTTAGGTATTACAAAAACACTCTGACAGACATTTCTAGTGCTGGGGTACCCTTGACAGAGCTATATAATTGCCAGACATTTGTAGTAGAGGAGTTATCTAATTTCCAAACCATTCCCCCTTTAATCTATGTCAATTTCATTGGATTTATAATTTTATATTATGATCTATTTGGACGAACCCTCAAAATTCATTAATTTTCCATCCATAGATAAAGCCACTGTGTCACTGTCAATTTATAATAAACAAAAATGAAACCGAAATCAGTAAACAGGCCTACATTTGATTAATATTTCAAAAAGAAATTTAAATAAATGAAGCTTGTCCTCCATCAATAATCAAAATAAAAGTATAAAGTCAATCAAAATTTCAATATTTCATTTCAAACAGGTGTGGTTGCTTTACTCACCTGACCAGCTATGACATCATTATGATCAAATGGCGGAATGATCTCATAATTTTTTTCTCGTGCAACTTTTTCACATGCAGCCATTCTAGAAAAATAATCCATGTAACAAAATAATTTAAAGACACATACCTATTAAGGAATACGCGAATGATAACAGGACCCAGAGAAAACCCACGCGGTTGGACAGGTGACCCTACTCCATGTCAAGCGGGCAATCGAAATCCATGCCACTTGATTAAATGACAAACCTTATTATCTAACGGAGCCACGGTGGCTAAGTGGGTAGACTAGTCTGGAGGTCATGGATTCGGTCCTGGTGTTGGCCGAGAAATTTCATCAGGATTTTCCAGCGTTGTTTTCGCTTGTCAGTGATGCAAGACGGAAGGCCTGACAAGGACAGCTGTCTAGTCGTTCGGATGGGATGAAAATCCAAGGTCCTGTATACACATTGGCGTGCACATAAAAGAAATCCCTTGGCAGTTGAAACTTGAAATTCGATATAAGAGCAGGCCGTAGTGACGCTGTCCGGGCAGAATTTCCCTCGTAGCACACGGTATGGCATATGCCCGTCTTCATTAGCCCAGTTGGAGCAGAAAAGTAAGACGTTGAACCCCATTTCATTTCATTTATTATCTAACATGCATACGTTAAACTACTAAACCACCGCACCCCACCCCACCCCACCCAGAAACAGAGACGACAATAAGGTTTTGTTTACCTGTCAGTGGGTAAGGGTCCACATTGTATCAATTCAGCACCATATTCTTTTATGGCAGCCATCTTGACTGCTGGAGAATATTTGGGTACAACGATGCTGCATGAAAATCCTGTAGACTTGGATGCCCAGGCTGTAGCTTGTCCATGATTACCACTACTATGAGTTACCTGAATGACAAAATGGAAATGAAATCAAATGGGGTTTAGCTTAGCATCGTACTTTTCTGCAGCAACTGGGTTAATGAAGAGGCAGAGGGGTTGTGAGGGGGGGGGGGGATTTTGCCGGACAGCGGCACTACAGCCTACTTCTATTTAAAAATTACAACTGTCAAGGGCTCTTTTACATGCACGCCAAATTGTACATGGGACCTCGGTTTTCCATCCCATCTGAAGGGCCATCCGTTGTCCCTTGCCAGTGCCACCATACTGCCCAACTGACTAGGGGGACCAGACCAGAATGGACAACACCGTGAGACCTCATCGAGCCATTGTGGCTCTCAAATACAAGTGGCATCATAACAAATAGAATTTGGCTTATAAAGCACAATGCATGGTGTATGCCTGTCTTGATTTACCAAGTGCAGAAAAGTAGGACGTGAATATTCTTTCAGGATAGTAGATGTCGAAAATATTATAGTTGTCCAGATATACAACATAACACAACGGTACATTCTGTGTATGAAGACTGAGTTAATAAAATGTAAGTCACAGAGTAAATAGTAAAGCCAACAAAAGATATTATAATTATTTACCAGTATATAATTTGATTAGGCCTAGGCTACTGCATATATATTACTGATTCAAAAGAATATGACATACAGTATAGCTCTTTAATTATTAATAAAAACATAGTTTACCACGCCTGCTACAGATGAATTCTCCACTTTCAACTTTAAAATCTGACAAAAAACAAAAAAATGGAAGTATTTATTATAATAAATATATCCCTATTATGTATTATAATTTTACTCAGTGACTCACTGTGTACGATGTTCGCTAACTAACCAGGGTGGTCCCAGGTTCAATTCAGTGTTCATCAAGAAAGTTCCTTTGGATCGATTTGTCACTGGTTTCCCCTTGTAATTGTACAGGACAGAAGGACTAGCAAGGTTAAATTAGGTGGGACAAAAAAAAACTGAAGTAGGCCTACACTCGACCTGTTGGTGTGCACAACCCATTACCCATGACAGCTAGTTAATGGAATTTGAGTTAAGATTAAGCAATAGCGCGGCTAGTTTTTCTGGGCAAAATTTCCTCATTAGCTCAAATGTCTTCCCATTTGGTGCAGAAAAGAGGACATTTATATCCAATTTCTTTTCCCTATATTTCAGTTTTACCAAGAAAAGAACTTTTCATGGTTCTGGCTGGTGAATCATCAACAGAATTCAGATTAATCCATGAGAGAAAAAATGAGCTTATCAATGTAGAAGAATCCATGAGAGAAAAATAAGCTTATCAATTTAGAAGAAATCATGGGCCAACTATATTTATTCCCAAAATAAGATTTAATAGAAAAAAGTCTATAGAATTCTATAGTACCCATTCCTACAGAAAACTATTGTGGCTCAATTTCCAAACTACAGAATACTACAGTATTCATTCCTATACATAACTGTAGAATTTCCTACAGAAAGTGCAAAGTGGGATGGGGCACAGGGCCATTCTTAGAATATAGAAGTTCTTACTAAATTCTTGCAGTTTAGCTCTACCAAAATGCATTTTATGATAGGCTACTATAGCCTACACGGTAGGGCCTACTGTACCTACGGAATTTATGGCACCTCTGGCTTTGAAAGAACCAGTTTTCTGAAGATTTTCAGCTTTGAAATATATATTTCTTCCTGTTAACTCATTTATTTTATTGTTTGTAAAAATCGGTGTCTTGTGAATAAAGTTAGATATACGCCGATAAGCTTCGGTAACATCACCAAAATTGACTGCAAGTTTTGTGGCCATGTCTTCTAGTATGGACTTTGGAAGCTTCAATAACAACTTTAAAAAATGTGCTATTAAATGGAGTTATCCCCCTTGAACAAATTAATGACAACCTCTCAGCTGTAAACCGGTACGACTATTTGCATGTTGAAAAAATAAAATTACTAAATTAACTAGTAAACCAAAAAAAAAAAAAAAAAAAAATAACCAAACGTCTGGGAGTATTTAGAAAATATGCCAAATGGTCGACAATAAATTTCGGTGCACGGTACTTTGATCTAATAAAACATATCCGAAATATTGGCTATTATAAAATGCTTCAAGAATTTCAATTAGAGATTAGCCTACATCATGTGTATAGGCCTATGCACACTGTTGTCCTGTTAGTAAATGCATGTAAGCTAGATTAAAATTACCTTTGTCTTATTTGTAAATATATATATTTTTTGTCATATTGTTATAAATTTATGAACATGTTTATATTGTATGCTGTCCTCAATGGATGTTTCGATACGATGAAAATCTTATCTTATCTCTACGTACCGGATTATGTTTTTTCTAAATATTCTATCTTTTGGGGGCTTAATGAGCCGAGGGGGGGGGGGGGCAGCGATGAAGGTAATCTCCCTAAGAGGTCCGGACTAAATACCTGCGTTTAGCGGTGATGAAAGGAAATAAAATGAATTGGGATTAATAACGTCCTACTGTTCTGCACCGATTGGGCTAATGAAGATCGTAGTGCGCTATGAGTATGAGGGAAATTTTGCCGTGATAGTGACCAACTCTTAATAAATCGTCAATGTGTACACGGGGCCTCGTTTTTGACTCATCCGAACGACTGACTGATTATACATTGCCCCTTGCCAGTAGACCTCCGTACTACACCACCGACAAGGGGAAGCCACGCCATAAAATCCCGATGAACTTTCTGGGTCAACACGACATGGATCGAACACGTGATCTCCAGGTTAACGATCCCACGCCATAGGCTACTCACTGATTCATGATAGAAAAGGTTGTTATCTTTTCATTGAAAATGCAGATTTTCAGAGAAAGATATTTTCTCCGAAAATGGCGCTTTCATGCCCGATACAAATTCCATTTTACAGCGTTTTGTGTATATTATATATGACATTATTTATGAATAGTCCCAAGACGGACGAAAAGTACTTTAAAATGTTAAAATGTTATTAAACCAGTGTTGAAATCAGTTTGTGTCAGCATACCTTTTTTATCTTTTCATCATTTGCCGTGAAACAAAGTATAGTGCAGCTTTGCGGTTGTGCTAATGATTTCTATATATATATAGAGAGAGAGAGAGAGAGAGAGAGAGAAGGGGGGAGGGCGTGGGGGTGTTAACGTCCTCTCGACACAAACCAGGTCATTTCGGGACTATGGTTCAATTTTATTTCAATAATTCGCTTGCACGTAGGGGTCTTTAGTAGTGGGAGCAAACCGGAGTAGGCCTACTCTGAGAAAATCCACGAGGTTGGACAGGCGACTCCACTCCTTGTCACGTATAACCGGAGAATCGAAACCAAACCAGTTGACTCCATGGTAGACCTTATGATACAGTGTTCACGCGCTAACCATTTGTCACCTACAACCGGGAAATCGAAACCACGCCTTAATGACATACCTTATGATAAACCACGCACGGACATTCAACGCCCCTTTATGTATGAGATTAAGGGACAATTTTAGGGTATTGTTCATTTGGAGACAAATATTATATCTATTTTACAGCGTCTGGTATATAAGGTGCATGCATAGGATATTGTTCTTCAGTATCCTGTTGTTTGACTACAGGTTGAAGGTCACATATAGACTACAGGTTGAAGGTCACATATAGACTACAGCTTGAAGGTCACATATAGAGATCTGCCTCGGTCGCGGCAAATGCGCGATAATAATTATTAATTTTTATTATGTATTATCAAGTTCAACTTAAAGGAGCTAAATCGCTAATATTTGTGACCTAGAAATGGACACAAATGAATCGCAACGCATATAATAATGTAATGTGAATGTATATATACTGATTTACATTCAATCGTTTGTTTCTGTTTTTATATAATTTCTAATCAGTTATGTTTGGAGAAATACGGCAACAATCTCTAGCGTCTGGTTATTCCAGTCTACACCGATAGTATTTATTTCGCATGCTATCCAGATAAGAATACAGCGTGACCGTTTGACATGACTTGTGGAATATGTCTAGCCTCGTTCTTCGAGTCCCTTGTTATAAATGAAGCTGAAACACATTATGGTACAATGTTTATTTTGTCTTAAATATTTGATATCAGAGGCTCATCTTTTCCCGATAATATCACAAGATCCATGTTGATTTAAATTGACAAATAATTCTTGTTTTCAATGTCGAAGACTTTGGATGATATTGAGTTAGAAACTTAGCTACTTTAAATGGCCTATCTAAAGATTTTAGGTAAGCAAACCTTTTTATTCAACGATCTTCATCACCACACCCCTTATAAGGAGCATTACACTTTAAACATTTAAAGTATATATTTTATCTTTATTTATAGAAATGATATTCCATGACAAGGGGCAGTCATCAAACAAATTTGTCCATAGCGGCGGAAAAGGTTCCGCGACAAACAAATATGATGGAAGTACCGTCACAGTACAGATGGCAAAATCTTTTTACGAATCGACTACAACCGATGGTTTGCGTCCATTTTTCCCGATCACAGAATAGCCAAATCTTTCCATAACGACGAAAATGGTGAGAGCTTAAGTGGTTCGAGTGAGCGTGGGGTAATTACTGATAATTTAAGGAAAACACCCCAATGTCGTCCAATGGAAAAAAAATACTCATCACAACGAAAATGGGGATCATCAAGTAAACATATCTACTGTAGCCTTCGTCAAATAACGTATAAAAACTACGCCTTTTTTCTCAGCAATGAGAGTCTTTTAAGCCCTAGTAAAACAGGCGCCATAACTTGTACTACACGTGACGTGTTAGTTAAAGGAGTTAAGTCTTTAACTCAATATATTCTTTCATATTTGAAATTAAAAATACGAGTTAGAATTCAGTATTGATCAGTTTCATTCAATAATGATGTTGGTATCTAGCCGTGAAACTATCGAATCCTAATATCCAATATTTAAGATACAATTAACATTGTATACTCAGTACACGAGTCGTATGCCCTATTTTGACGGGTACCATTTTGTAATGAACAAATAAAAACGTATCCTACAATACAATGTGGAAGTAATTAGTAAAGGCTGATTCACAAACGATAAAATAATAATTTTAAAAAAAGCGTGTAGAATGCACTAAGTAGGCCTAAACAACTGTCGTTCAATTTGAACTGTTCGCGTATTTCACCGAACATACCTGATTAAAAATTACAATATCTTTTCTTCAAAAATTGAATACTAGTATAAATCACTTTACATACACGCATATTACATTAATATATGCTTTTAGAACCATTTTTGCATATTTCAAGGTTCCAAAAAATAGAGCCGTGCGCCCTTTAACTAATGCACCTTTAACGTAATTATCCCCAAAAATAAATATATTCCACACAAGGAAAATCCTGGTTGTGTTTTTTTTTTCATGGCCATAGTTTTTTATATTATTACACTATACCCTAATAATAATAATAATCTTTATTCAGATCTCACAATTCAGATCCAAATAATTGTATATTCTTTACAACAATGCGAATTTTTGTCACTAGCTTAAAGTTACAATTTCATATTTTTAAGTTATATTTTTAAAATGTATTAAAATAAAGCCTTAAAATAGATGGTATCCATAAACAGTTCTACCTTGTTAAAGAATAATCCAATTAATCCTATAATTCACTATTGCCAGTTGAGAAATTGGCAAAAATATAATTTTCAACTTCAAATTCAAACGTTTGAAGATAGCTATTCCATGGGAGGGATAGGGGGATAGAAAAACAAGGGAGGTAATTGTGTTATTATTTCCGGGGTGAATGATTCTTAAGTGTGAGAGTGATACCTATGATCGTATAATAGTGAGTTGACAACCTAATGAGCAAAAGAAATAGAAATAATTATGTTTTGACTTTCTTAGAAAATATGAAATTCTCGCTTTAAACGATTTCAGTATATTTATACCACTCACCCTAAAATAAGGTTATATTGTTAGTGTCTATTTAGATGTAATTATGCCATGTCGTTTACTCCATACTCCCCAACTGTATTAGATCAGTCGATGCAGAACAGTACGGCGTTAAAGTAGCTAAGTCTCTAACTCAATATCATCCAAAATCTTCAACATTGAAAACACGATTTATTTGTCAAATTAAATTAACATTCATGTTGTGATCTTACCGGAAAAAGATGGGCTTTTGATATCCAATATTTAAGACAAAATAAACATTTTACCATTGGTACACGAATCGTGTACCATAATGCGCTTCAACCCCAGTTGTATCAAGAGACTCGAGGGACGAGGCTAGACACATTGCACCAAATTAAACGGCGTATGTAGACTGGAATAACCAGACGCTAGAAATTTGCACTCGCTTGAGACTGCTGGCTTATTTCGCCGAACATAACTGATTTGAAATTGGAGTAAAAACGGAAACCATTGAATGTAAATCAGTTTATATACATTCATATTACAGTATTATATGCGTTGCGACCCACTTTTGTCAATTTCTAGGTCCCAAATGTTAGCGATTTAGCTCCTTTAAACACTCTTTCATTTGCTCTATACTAATTTGAAAATAAGAAGCAAAAATTGTGTATCGTGAGAGAGCTATATTTAACTTATAAGTTTAAAATCAAGATGTTTAATTTATAATTTTATTATGATGTATATGTATGTGCCACATAAATCTGTATATCTAACATACTGGCACACAAATTGCATTAGTGTGAGCGTGATGGACATCAGAATATGCCCCATTTTCACTGCTAACGCAAGGCCGTTCCGGTGTTATATTCAACCAGGGACCCTATACATATTTAATGGCCACAGATCACTAATTATTTCCCCATTGACTTTAATGTTAATTCTCGTCTCTTAGACCGGCTCTAACTTTTTCCCAAATTTTCGTTGGGTAGAACACTTTCTGCCACAGATGGAGCAACATGTGGCAAACTCTTGCCCAAAAGCATGCATGAGCTGGAAGTAGAGACAAGTAAACATTGTTGTTGTTAATGTTTAACGTCCGCTTCCACCGAAGGTGATATCGCAGACAAGTTGTCTTTTTTTTATTTTCATTATCATTATCTTAGCGCACGCGTAGGGGTCTTTCGTGTGGGAGGAAACCGGAGTACCCGGAGTAAACCCACGAGGTTGAGAAGGCGCCCCTATCTCCATGCCACATACGCTCACACCAGGGATCAAAACCACAACCGCAAGCCAGAGGTGACCGGCCAGCTAGAGGTCGAAGCGAGACACTCTAGACCACTAGCTGCCATCCCACCCCCCTCACAAGTAAACATGCAATTTCCAGCCCTACATTTCAACGTAACCAGACTCACAACTCTTGTATCCTTCCGCCTCAAAATCATGAATATTCACCAAAACCTGGTAGAAAATGTATTATCAAACCCTTTTTTTTCGATTCTACACCAAAAAGTCAACAAAAATCGCCATGCAAAAGGGGGGAAAAGGGAAAGGGAGAGAGAGACTAAAAATAAATTTGGCCCTTGTTCGTGGGTGACGGCGTAGAGATATTTGGTGATCTGTGTCCATGTTTAATCCTGCCCTGAATGTACCACCATCCTTGGCATCCCCAGTGTTCTCATTCCGTTCTACTCATTCCGTTCTCCTCCACTATTAGTATCCCCAGTGTTCTCATTCCGTTCTATACTCCACTGTATCCCCAGTGTTCTCATTCCGTTCTACTCCACTGTATCCCCAGTGTTCTCATTCCGTTCTACTCCACTGTATCCCCAGTGTTCTCATTCCGTTCTACTCCAGTATGGAGTAGAACGGAATGACAGCACTGGGGATACTGAGGATGTGCATGTACCTTTAATGACGGGTGGTTCGTAAAGCGTAAAGCGGAAGTTATATTAAATGAAGACGCGTTATTCTTCGTGAATACGGTGTAACGTTTGACATGTGACTAATGGTTTACTTGGAAATTATCTGTTTTAAAAATAACCTTCACTAACAATAAATACGCTGGGTTAACCTAGAAACTGACAGTGTTCAATAGATAATCATATAAGAAAGATGAATTCTGGAGTTTTATTTCGGGGACTATTAATTTTCATCATATGTGCCATTCAAAGCATAGAAAGTCAGAATGGCAGATTTTGTGGTGAAGTTGCCTGGACTAAAGCTTGTTCCAGTGTCAGTGATAATGATATGAGACGCCGAAAGAGAGATGCAGACAGTGACCTTAATAAAGATATTTCGGAAGAAGCCAACAAAAATCCCTCGTTTACCGGAGCGTGGAAAATGGCTGATAAAGATGACAAATTACCAACACTAATTAAAAAATATCAAATACTGCAACGGAGCGAGATAAAACTTATTATGGCATACACTTACGAATTAGAACAAATGCCCATGGTCGCTCAGTTCTACGTATCTCTCAACGAGGATTGTCGAAATTTTGGACTGAATGGAGGCAAATATCCAAAGACTAAGAAGATTTTACGCAATGCTCTGATCAAATTAGGAGATTCCCAAACTAATTTACCAGCAATGCTTTACCGAAAGGAGCCTGATTTTCTTTTGGAGAACTACACAAGTTGGAAGAATCAGCAAATTTCCCGGCAGTTGGCGATGTTCACATCTACTAGCAAGTCTAAGAATGCCTTCCCATGTAAACCACAGGGAAAAATGCAGACTATTTTCAAGAACCCCCAAGCTGGCGCTTCCATTGCTGATTTTTCTAGATATCCAGACGAACAGGAGGTTATAATACCGTTAATGTATGGTACGTTTTATGTAGAGACTGTTGATTCACAAAAAAAGGAAGCAGTTCTCGTTGGACCTACAACATCTTCGGCTCAAGCCCTCATGTCTAACAGTATACCGTGCAACAATGGCAATGGACAAGAGTATTTACATGTCAACTTTGAGTTATTTACCCTTTGTTTGGTCATCACGTTCAAGAAAAGGACGAACTGCTAATACAATATAAACAACGTAAAGCAACAGAATGAGAAGAGATTTTTTTTATTAATATTAAATTTGAATGATTAACATTGTAATACAGCGACAATATGAGAAGACATTTTTATTAATATTAAATTTGAATGACTGATATTGTAATACTATATGAGAAGAGATTTTTTTAGTAATATTAAATTTGAATGATTAGCATTGTAATCACCGTATTATTACCGTTTTGAGGCGAGAGAATAAATTCTGAAGAAAAATTTCACATTCACTTATAATTTTTGTTTTATTTTTAAATAATCAAAATGTAATCATGAAGAAATTTAGACAGTGGGGGTTGTCATAGTTTCCGTTTTATAGAGAATTTACACGCGGAAGTTTGAATCTAAACTATAGCCTTATTTGTAGTGTCCGGTCGAAAGCGAATACTGGGGTTTTATTGGATTTCATATTACGAAGTACTTACAATAGAATACAATTTATTTGACACCATTTATTATGCGAAGTGATCTTTGAAAGCAGGGGGCCAGTTTTCGATTGACTATTTATAAGGTATTTTTTAGGTGGCCGTGGTTTGGTTGGGCGTCGGAATAAGGGGAGCACGATTTTGTAACGTCGCCCCAGTGGGATTTAGTAGCTACCTACTGTTCGTGCCATTCTATGTGTCCTGGGTTATTTTATTAGGGGTCACGCTGACTAAGTGGGTAAGACGCTGGCTCGCTACATGAAGATCTGACAATTACAACTGATCTTTCACGCTTTCGTGGCCCTTTGAAAAACGTCCTAAGAAACCAAATGATAATTGAGTTTGGGCAATTTTGATTTTTTAGAATTAAACCAATGGTTTATTGCGGTCGCGACGTGAAATTAGTTAAATTAGTTATCTCTTATCTACATTTAAAGTGTAGTTAAAGGTCCAATTTAAAGTAGCTAAGTCTCTAACTCAATATCATCAAAAATCTTTGACATTGAAAACAAGAATTATTTGTCAATTCAAATCAACATTGGTCTTGTGATCTTACAGGGGAAAGATGGGCTTCTGATATTCAATATTCAGCGCCATTTGGAACAAAGGACCCAAAGAACGTGGCTAGACATATTCCACACGTCATGTCAAATGGTGACGCTATAATCTTATCTGGAGAACATGCACAATAACTATCACCGGTGTAGACTGGAATAACCAGACGCTAAATATTGCTATTAATTGAGACTCCTGGCGTATTTCGCCGAACATAACTAATTATAATTACTGTAAAAACAGAAACTGTTGAATGTAAATCAGTTTATACACATTCACATTACATTATAATTATTATATGCGTTGCGACCCATTTGTGTCAATTTCTAGGTCCCAAATATTAGCGATTTAGCTCCTTTAATTAATGTTACATACTTCCACCAGTAGATCCCGTCACTACAAAGACAGACAATAACCCACTATTGTTGCTAATCGAATAGTATGAGAATCGTACTCATGGCAATGTCTTTACATTCAGTAATAAGTGGTTCAGCGTAGGTTCTGTATTATGTATACACTCTTTGTGGTCCTGCTCAGTGAAAAATCGTCTCCATAATTCGTCTCAAGTTTGAGTCTCATACCACCTTTAGGGCTAAATATGACCAGAAGTTACTCAGTTTAGGTGGAGAGGGTTCAATCAAACGAAAATGTGGGAAAAGTTAAAAAGTTGAAGCTGGACAAAGGGGCAAAAATTAAATGATATTGGTGGTCTGTATCCTTAGAGTAGTACGGTCGAATAGAGTTATCTCCCATAATCAACTTGCCGGAAGTGATGTTGGTATCCGAGGTAAACAATTTTCGAGCTGTGAACCGACACAATTTTCTATTATTTTAGAAGATTAGCCCATTTAATCCAATCTAATTCAACTTATACGGTATTTGTTACAATAGTAATCTCAGGAAAGTAAGGAAAGGCTATTTCCACGATTTAACTAATCGCAATATTATATCTTAAAGGAGTTAAATCATAGGATTCTTAGGAATGTGACACAAATGGCTTATAAGTTATTATATAAACTTATAATAATGATGATGGCAATGGGTCGCAACGCCAACGCATATATATGAATGTAAATAATATAAACAGATTTACATTCAATCGTTTCCGTTTATTACTCAAATTTCAAATCAGTTATGTTCCACTAGTGTCAATCGAATGGTACGTAATCTCTAGCATCTGGTTATTCCAGTCTACACCGATGGTATTTATTGCACTAATTCAGCTCTGAAAGTAGGTCCCATTACACTCGCCCTGTACATTCTGGAACCATCCTATTGAATTGTTGTTGAAAATGTATCATTCCCAGTCAATTTTACTGGGCAACTTTTTACTGCTAAACAGTCGCGTGTCAGTCCCTGTGAATGCCTCTACAGTCAATGTAAAGGAACATTTTAGTGAGAAAATAAGACCTTGCTTATCTTGCCACACAACATGCTGTTAAAAATAAGTCCCCGTCTGCTAAACAGCTTGACAGATGCCATTGATATCTGAATAGAAGGTAACGGACAAATTTACGTACAGGCGGCAAGTGTAATGAGACCTACGTTCAGAGCTGAACTATTATTGTGCAAGCTCTCCAGATAAGAATATGGCCTCCCCGTTTAACATGACTTTTGGAAAAAGTCTAGCCTCGTTCTTCGACTCCCTTATTACAAATGGCGCTGAAACGCATTATGGTACACGATTCGTGTACCAATGGTAAAATGTTTATTTTGTTTTAAATATTGGATATCTTTACACAATATGATAACTAGTGTTGAAAATTGGATCGAGATTTGTGATCCGAATACTTTTGTTGGCTATCCGAATACTATTCGGATAATTCAGAGACGTGAAATTCTTGAACAAAATAACATCAAAAGTTCATATACCGGTACTCATAATTTCTTACTTGTTTCAATGTTTATTAGTGTCTGTGTATGCCGAGGCTAGTATGAAATCGTACTTTCGATTTGCAAATTGTTTGTCCCGTGAAGAAAAAAACGTGCCTACCTTTAGCCGTAATTATTAAGACTATCTATGATATCCCAAAAAATCAACGAGGTGAAGAAATTTGTATACTATAACTACTCCTGTAATCTGCACCTTCCCACTTATCATTTTGCTCAATCAACACGAATGAAAAAAGTAAAATAAAAACATGTGCCATTTATTTCCCCAAGGTCGTTTGCCTCATTCTGATAATCTACTACTATTGAACCAATCAGTGAGTGGGAATATACGTGACATAGGTCGTTATGAATAAATTTCCTTGCGGGAAGTCAAAACACGGTCTAAACGCGTATGCCGTAAACTAGCGCAGGGAAGGAATGAATATTTTTTTTTTATTTAGACTAAATAATATGCATAATGTTGACAATAATTATGCTCAGAGCTGCGTACGTGATCAATTGCATTGGGGAAAATTTCAAAGAAGTAATCAGATGTAAAAATGGCTAAATTATAGAGCATACGGAATGTCAGAATATATTGTAAAGAATAGTAAACGGATAGTAAAATGATTTGGATAACCCTTATTTTGTATCCGTTAACGAATATCCGAATAGTAGTTTCACCACTAATGATAACAACACCAATGTTGATTTAAATTAACAAATAATTCATGTTTTCAATGTTGAAGACTTTGGATGATATTGAGTTAGAGGCTTAGCTACTTTAATGTTATAATAGTAGGCCTAATAGCTTTTAACACTGTAGACTGTAGTACTAGTAGACATAGTATAGCTACTAGGCTAGTAGTTACTATAGTAACAAATTCCTACGGCTCTGCTCTCTATTCGTTACACTAATATGAAAATAAGGGTTTTCCCCCATCTCAGTTCTAAGGCTATTTTGGAATCCTTACCATCTTTTTTCCACCGTGAATCTTCTTTCTTTCCAACAGTGCAATCTTTGGAGATAAAAATTCTACTAAGACAAAAGATCCTGCTTGGATCAGCATAGGTAATATAACAACAGCAAATTGAAAACATTCACTGAAGTACCGGTAAGTTCAACTTTTATTAATATAAGTTCTTCCAAACCACAAACCAAAAACTTGATCTCTTTTAAATGGTTTCCATAAAACTGAACTGTAATCCTACATTATAGAGATGCAAACATTAATTTACCAAGATTGAAAGCCCTAAACTTTTGAATTTTAAAAATTGAGACTTAGTTTTTATATGGTCTGGATGTTCGTGCATATTTTGTTGCTACCAATGACATATCTATTTATTTACAGATTAAAATGGCATATTTACTAGGAGGAAAGGCGTGTATGGATAGTTTACGCAATGATGTACAAGATGTTCATTGGTCGGTATCAGACATCGTATCCCGTACAGGACCGTTGGAATTCCCATCCTGGAAGTTTCCTGACAAGATGTCCTGTGATTTGGACATGGATGACTTGATGGAGATGTACGATTATTGTGATGGAGAGGAGGAGAATCAGGTGGCTCACATCGCGTTATACGAACTTGTGATTGACAGGTAAACTTCTCTAATATTCCATTCATGTCCCTATGTTCCACTGATGAATGTCTGCTTGAGACACCCAAATTCAATTTGGTGCCAGATCTTTTTCATATATCTCTGCAATGCTTTGGAATTCCTTACCCCTGAAACTAAAGTCTGCTAAAACACTAACTTCATTTAAATCAAACCTAAAAGACCCATCTTTTCAAATGTCAGCGCTTTGAGCATTTCCCTATTGTGATGTGGATTTTATCGCATTATAAGACTCATCATCATTATTATTATTATTATTATTATTATTATTTCTGCATGTCTAAACTATTATGAATGAATCTTGATTATTATGAATGAATGAAAGAATGAAATGGGGTTTAACATCCTACTTTTCTGCACATACTGGGCTAATGAAGATGTTAATTTTTCTTATGCCATGTAATGTGCTATTTGGGAAATTCATGTAATGACAGTGGCACTCAAACAGTGTTGCTATTTTGTGCGTGACAAGAAGGAGTCGAGTCGCTAGTCCAACCTCGTGGGTTTTCTCTGGGTCCACTGACTTCTTCCCACTGCTAAAGACCCCTATGCACAAGCGAATTATTGAAATAAAATTAAACCATATGTTAGTCCCGAAATGACCTAGTTTGTGTCAAGTGGACATTAAACACCATTTCTCTCTCTCTCTGTCAAAATTTCACTTGTAGCACACTAAGTGGCGTATTCCCATCTTTATTATCCCTATTATTAAACCCTATTTCATCACATTTCTTTTTAAAAATGTTGGCTTGTAGATTGGTGTACCTTGTTCAGGCTATGACTAAATATACAGAACAGTTAATGAGTGGAATAAAACCAGGGGGAGAGAACTCTACAGGAACAAGTAGTTCTGTTGGTCTGGTGGTGAAAAAATATTGTGGCAGATTGATTCATTTGCACACGTTAATACAACATATACAGTCTGAGGTAGGTATAAATATAGATATAGTATGATTAAGCTGAACACTTGTGGATGCTATCTAATTAGGGGGGTGGATGGCCGGTTGGGGTGTATATCTTAAGGTCTGTCATTGAGTCAACTGGCATGATTTCGATTCCCCGGTTGTACATGACAAAAAGTCAGGTTGCCTGTCCAGCCTACGGTTTCCTCCCACTGCTAAAAACCCCTCGTCGCAAGCGAATTATTGAAATAAAAGTGAACCATATATGTTAGTCCCGAAATTACCTTGTTTTTGTCAAGTGGATGTTAAACCCCTGTTGAACTTCGTGGGTTTTTTTTCGTATCATCTGATTTTCTGCCACTACTATAGAGACCCCTAAAACGCACACTCGAAATAACATTGAAACATATATGTTAGTCCCAAAAAGACCTAGTTTGTGTTGAGTGGACGTTGAACCCTCTCTCTCTCTCTGTTTATCACCTGTTGCTCACATTATTAAGTGAACTTTTTATTTTCAGAATAAAACTAAAACTAGAAAAATAACAGATTTAGAAAAAACTCTTCTAAAACTGAATGGTGAGGTGCATCAAAATGGTTACCTGTCACCGAAACAGAACAATCTTTCAAATTCAAACATGGACGATTCCAGTTCAAGTAACTTCAGTGCTTCCTCCCCTAATATGGACATTTCGAGAGATGCTTGCAATAAATCATCACAAACTATAGAAACAGCTTTTGTAGCCTGTGAGTCGTGTGACGTCGTTCAGAAAAATTTACGTGAAACGGGGGATATTGTTATTCATGTTTGTTCAACGCAAGGCCTTCCATCGTCACTGAAAAAATTCCGTCCACAGGTTGCGGGTTACGATTGGTTAAGCGCTAATGACATCATGAGATGGACACACGAACAAAATAAAGATCTGTCGCGAATAAATAAATACATGGATCAGATCGTAACAGAAGTCAAACCTTTAAAAGCAGAAGTGACGGCCTTCGAGAAAGAAACGAAACAAATGGAACATAAAGTTCGTAAAATCGAAAATGAATTGAAGTTAGAAAAAGACACCCAGATAGCCATTAAGCGACAGTATGAAATAAAACTTCAAGAGAAAGAATCAACCTTCACGGAAAGTATGGCTTCCGTAAATAGACAGAAAGATGAAATAACAAAAACGCGGAAAGATTTAGAGCGGGAGTTAGAAAAGAGTCGAGTTGAATTGAGACAACAACAAAGTGAATTAGAAACATTAGGTTAGTAAAAAAAACAAATACGAGAGTACAAAATGAGCCAGGAGCTGAGTCAATCATTGTGCAATTGTCCAAAGAACAAAAGCATGCCAAATTTCATGTTCATTATACTCGAATTAGCAGAGTCGTAAGCTTTTTTTGAAGAGCTTTGCCACACAAACAAAATAAGTTTTCCAAATGTATGTAACCAGTTCCTAATTCAAAAATGGTGGGTTGGGTACAGAGGCGGATCAAGGCTCTGATGGGCAGTTCGACCAACTGGGCCCTTTGCGGAACTGGTGTGCTGTAGTAAAACTAAGGCCGCTTAGTTTTCCGCTTTTTTCAGCATTTCAGCTTCATGTTTTTTCTGTTCTCTCTTCTCCCATCCACACCTTTGCCTTTGGGCCATATCATTAGCAAACCGACCTACGTCGAAATGACGTGGCCTTCACATAATGAAAGAAAGACAAATTTCAAAAGAAAATCGCAAAAACTTTTTTTAAAATGAAAGCGAAACCGAATGGCAGGCTAACGTAAGGCGAGCGAGTAACCAGTCTCACAACTGGAGTGATCGATTACACTAAAGCTCATCTCGAGCGCTATGGTGACACTGACCATGTGGGGTTCTTCCCTCATAGTGAACGGCCGACACAACCCAGTGAGGCTCGTCAAATTTAAAAACGTTGTCAAAAATTTTATGGGCCCTATTTTTTCTTGGGCCCTAGGTAGCTGCCTACACTGCCTATGGGGTAATCCACCTCTGGTTGGGTAGCTAGGCACTCCTCAGATTTGGCTCACTATCTTTACCTTTCTAAATTTTTTCAACAAGTATTTTTCTTTAGCAAAGTTCTGTGTGAAATGTGAAATATATATAATTTTAAGAAAGCAGTGCAAAAAATCAAGTGGCAAATGAGTATCTGTACTCACTGTCAAAACACATCATGCAGCCCTTTTTCAGTTTAGAAAGATTATCTGAGAACGAAAATGTTTTGTATATATGGCCTAATGATTCTGCTGTGTTAATATTTCCCCTAGACGTGTTATCTCGCAGACCACCTGTTTCCTTCCACTGCCAAAGATTCCTACTCACAAGCACATTTTTTAAATAAAATTGAACAATATGTTAGTCCCGAAATGATCTAGTTTTTGTTGAGTGGATGTTAAACCCCATTTCTCTCTCTCCTTTAGAAACAACTCAGAAAGATTTAGAGAAAGAATTGAGAAAAACGAAAGTAGATCAAGAAGAAATCAACATATTGGAAGATAAAGTTAAATTGATGAAAACAGAATTAAATCACGTCACAGATAAACTTGAATCACAGACCAAAGATTATAATTTAGAATTGTCAAAAAATAAAATGGCACAGAAACGAAATGATGTAAGTTACGGTATTATTAAATCTTTTCTTTTAGTGACATTTGGTAAAAGGCTAATCCCAATATTTTTTGGAGAATAAAACTGCTTAATTTTGAGTTAAAATCCCTTAAAATCCTCTAGCTAAGGGCTGAGCAACTAACTCAATATTTGTGATAAGTTTTCAAAAAAATTAAACCTGTCAGTCTTCATCTGGAAATGGAGGCCGGTGTCCCAAGCTGTATTATGCGGTGACTGGATAAAACCAGACTTTTATTTTATAAAAATAATGTGTAGGTAAAATTTAACTTTCGTTATCAAGTACAGCACATGGGTCATTCATTATATAGACCTCTCAAGGAACAGGAATCGATTACCAGGTCACCCAACGAAAAAACGGACCCGAAATCTTAAAAGGGTTACGTGTCTGGATAAGCAGTTTTGACGTTCACATCCAAACGACTCAATATTTTGAACTGGATTTTTGATGGAAGGTAAATACACCATTCCTCTATATTTTGGTGCTTAAATTTTATATGTACTCCGACTTTTATTTTTGAGACTCTCTTGAAATCGGAATAGACCAGAACACAGTTTTTATGGGAAACAATGTTTGGTTTATTATAAAAGCACAATGATGACAATAAGAGGATACTTTTAGAAACGTAACTTCATGTTTATATAATAAACCATTGATTGTTTCCCATAAAAATTGGAATCTGTAAATTATTCAAGTTTTATAATTTGGTATTATATTTTAGTTCCAAATGAAATGAAATGGGGTTTAACGTCCTACTGTTCTGCTCCTACTTGGCTAATGAAGACGGGCATACGCCATACAGTGTGCTATGAGAGAAATTTTGCCCGGGCAGCGGCAACACAGCCTACTCTTATATCGAATTCCAACTGTCAAGGGATCTTTTACGTGCATGCCAATGTATACACAGGACGTCAGTTTTTCGTACCATCTGAACGACTAGGCAGATGTCCTTGTCAGGCCCTCCATCCTGTACCATTTTAGTTCCAAATCATGGAATACAATTAACATATATGAAGAATATCGTCCGGTTTTTCTAGTCCAGAGTAATGCTTTCTTGGCTGACCATAAATTATATCTAGTTTATTGTATGGTCCAAAAAAGAAAGATCTCATGTTCACATTATAGTTTAGTAGTTGGATACAACTACTACCCAGGCAAAATTATACTTATGATTGTCCACTTAGAATATAAAATACCTTACTGATGTTAATATCCAGGGAAAAACCACGAGGTTGGACAGGCCTTGTCAAGTACAAGCAAGGAGTCGTAACCACACGATTTGACCCCATGACAGGCCTTATGATCTTACGCGCACATGTTACACCATTCATCTACTCAACCCCCTGTTTACCTTAGTTTAAGCCTTTTAATTAAAAATAATTTTTTCTGTTTGTTATACTGATTTCTTTGTTTTATCTGATCTGTAGAATCTGCAAGCTAAACAGGCCAGTTTATTGGAGCGGGTGAATGAACTGGATAGAGAGAATGAAGAACTGAAAGATCAAATGAATGAATTAGAAGAAGAGAAAGAAAAAATTACAGAGAAATTAGAAAAGTTGGAAGATGAAAAGACACAATTACAACAGCAAGTTGATGAAAATAAGGTATTTTGATATTTTCTATCGAATTTCATGCTTATTAGGAATCCAGTTTGCTGAAATGACAAGTATAGTTGTTTGGGTGGGACAAAAAAGAAAACTGCATGGTCCAGTCTTTTAACACTTGCATTGGTGTAAAAGAAACTTTGGCCATTCTAATTTAATAATTCGATGGATAATAAGTCTCTGTGTAAGAAAAAATTCTCCTTAATGCCTGTTCCCACTGTTGTGCGATGCATTTCGATAGGATTGTCTCTATTGAGTCCACGATCTATTGAGTGCAGATCTATTCAGATACGTTTCAATACGGTCAACATGATTGCTACGACTGACCTCAATAGGATCACCATGATTAAAACCATGATTTCAATCGTAGCACAAATTGTGAACCTTGGAAAAGCGATTATATTCTAGTCTCAGATTGGCCTATGTATAGTACTTAAGAAATGTATTTTGAGTAGTCCATGATGATTGAATTTTATATTAAAGGATCAAGGTCCTCAATTCATAGAAAATCAATAACACAAGATGTTTCCACTGTTGTGATAAAATGTTGAGAAGATAAATTACCTATATTTTTTGTTCTATATCAAGAAAATGACAGAAAGAATTACCCTTGTAAGGAAATAAGCCTTTTTAGAGTATTTTGACTTTAGATGCAAGTCTTATTTTTCTTTTATTTCAGACAGCCATTAGGAATTGTCAGGTTACCATTTGAAATGTATTAATTGAAGTGATGAGGTTTTATCCAAATGGAATTGACCTTATCACCTAGTGTTCCTTTAAATTCATAGTTCAAAACCCCATATTTAACAACCCTGTGATTCACATCCCTATAGTTTACAACCCCATGGTTCACAACCTCAACCCAATTGAATAATTTGTTTCTTGCAGGCTGAGCATGATCGACTTGGTAAAGAGAAAGATGACCTTGAGAAAACAATGGAGGAAACGCGTCACATTATTCAACAGATGGAACAACAAGTGAACGAAGCCAAAGAACGAGAAAAACTTCTTGTAGAATATCCAGATTTAAACGGGCCTGTAAATCCAGACTATAAAGGTTTATAATTTCATGGAAAAAATTTCTTTGTCAGTTTCAAAATAGTTCACATTAAAGCGCCCAAAACATGGCGATGTCTCAAAAATACAATCAATAGAGTATGCATCTTAGTCAATGGTTCACAGGCTGCTCACCCCCCCCCCCCCCCACTGACATTATAGAAATGAAATGACATGAAATGGGGTTTAACATCCTACTATTCTGCTCCGAACTGGGCTAATGAGACAGGCATACGTCATACAGTGTGCTATGAGGGAAATTTTGCCCGGACAGCGGCACTACAGCCTATTTTTATATCGAATTCCAACTGTCAAGGGATCTTTTACGTGCACGTCAATGTGTACTCAGGACCTTGGTTTTTTGTTCCATTCGAATGACTAGACAGCTGTCCTTGTCAGTCCCTCCGCCCTGCATCACTGACAAGGGAGAACCACGCCGGAAAATCTGGATGAACTTTCTCGGCCAATGCAGGGATCGAACACCCAACCTCCAGGCTAGCGATCCACTGTCTTACCCACTTAGCTACCATGACTCCCTTGACTTTAAAGATTACAGAGCAGGTTAATAAACACAGTCATAACACATAACAGGGTGGCTGGGGGTCTCGAGCAAATCAGTATTTTTCCGGTGATCATCAGATTTTTTGGGCAGTGGCCAAACGAACAAGAATATAATGGATATAAAAAGAAGAATATGAAAATTAACCATCCTGCAAAACGAAGTGCCCGAAATCCGAAAATTTTACTCACCATTGGGTGGGGTGATGCAATTCCCAACCAGAGTTTATAGTTTCAGAAAATCACCCAATTCTGAATTTGATTGAAGGTGTCTAGTTTACAAACTAAAACTGCAGTTTAAGAAAATTTGCTCCAGTACTAGCCATTATTTTTCAAGATTTTACTACGTAGGTTCATTTTTCGGGCGCCGCTGCAGTATTTTTCAGGCAAAATTAGTACAGTCCCCCCCACCCCTCCTAAGAAAAATCGGCTCATACATCGAATCAGTCGTGTGTATTATGAAGACTAAAATTGTATGTGTTCATTCTGACTTGTCTTTAGGTACAGGTAACCTGGTTAAAGATATGGAGAATCAAGTGAAAGCAAATTTGATCCGAGTCCAGATTTTAGAGACTCAAAGTGAAGGTCTACAGAACTCAATATGTAAATTTGTATCAAATCAAGGTCATAGTCCAGTTCGATCCTGTTCTAAATCATCGTCTCAATCGTCAATTCAGTCCAATACAACTATGATGGTGAGTAAAGTATTTTCAATATATTTCATCAATCAGAAACAAATTTTTTTGGGTTTTTTTTCTCTCAATTAATGTCTGACAACATCCTTTACAAGTTGGGAACCACGGTGGCTCAGTGAGTAAGAGAGGGAGGGAGAGAGAGAGAGAGATGGGGTTTAACGTCCACTCGACACAAACTAGGTCATTTCGGGACTAACACATGGTTCAATTTTATTTCAATAATTCGCTTGCGCGTAGGGGTCTTTAGCAGTGGGAGGAAACCAGAGGACCCGTAGAAAACCCACGAGGTTGGACAGGCGACCCTACTCCTTGTCATGTACAACCGGGGAATCGAAACCCCGCCAGTTGACTCAATGACAGACTGTATGTTACAGCGCAGCACGCGCGTGCTAACCATTCGGCCATCCAATCCCCCCAGTGAGTAAGAAGTTGGCTTGCTAACCTGGAGGTCCCCTGTTTGATCCCTGCGTTTGCTGAGAAGTTTCGTCAGAATTTAACGGCTTGGTTCCCACTTGTCAGTGGTGCAGGACAGAGGGTCTGGCAAAGGACAATGTATAGTCATTTGGATGGGATGAAAAACCGTTGCCTTAAATCATAAGATCTGTAAATGAGTACAGTGGTTTGATTGCGATTCCCTCCTTGTACATGACAAGGAGTAGGCTCGCCTGTCCACTGTCCAACCTCTTGAGTTTTCTTAGGGTCCTCCAGTTTCCACCTACTGCTAAAGATCCATACGTGCAAGCAAATCATTGTAATAAAATTGAACCATGTGTTAGTCCCGAAATGACCTAGTTTGTCTTTCTCTCTCGTTTACATTAACATCACTCAGCCAACGTGGCACTTCCTGTCTATAAACATCATAAGAATGATTATTTCTATTTAGGGCGGTCCAACACAACTATGGAAGATGGATGAATTAGATAATATTCGAGAAGAAGACAATAACAGAAGCTACAGGTATCTTCTAATTTCTATTTGAAACTCATTGAACGACTTGTACACGTTTAGTTTTGGTTCTTCCTCTAAATGAATTGGGTCTACTCAAATTGAACAATTTGCCCTGGTGCTGAAAAAAACTGCTCCACTGCTTTGTAAAAAAATTTTTACATGGAGTGGTGTAATACCGATGATTTCATGTCAAGTGAAATATTTAATGTGCTAAAAAATTCCCTGATTTTAGATCATGAGATCAAGTACCGGTAGCATTGTTTCGATCTCATAGTAGGGTCACCTACCTAGCCATGCGGTTCTTCCATATCCGTCCCACTGGTAAAAACCTTTACGACAAAAAGTTGAACTATTGAAGTAAAAATTATCATATATCACTTCCAAAATGATCTAGTCTGTATTGATTGCTAATTAAACTTGTCATGCATGTAAACATACAGTTTTACATACGATGTGTGATGTATTTACTATGTAAGATTTAGATAAAGAGCTGTCCGTTCTTGCTATAATTAATATTTCCAAAATAGATAATACAAAATCAATATTTTGAAAATTTCATGCAGGTTATTTAATTCTGAGCGAAGTTATAACTGTTTGTAGTTATTACAAGATGTGTGCATTGATTGTTTATTGTCTTAACCACGGCACTGGTTATTCGAGACTTACCCCCGCTTCTCCATTTTGAAATCAAATCATGAAATGACCGAACTGTTCCAATCTTCTTGAAATCGGAGCCATCCAATGGTCTAGAGAGTTGATTATGGTCATGTCATGTAAATAAATGTCTAAATAATAATTTATATAACATGTAAGTCCTAGAGAAAAACATGTAATAGGAAGATTTATTTCTTACATAATGCATCTTTAACAGCATAAAGTTAACATTGTACATTGACATTAAGTACTTTTGGCAATGATCTCATTCCATACACTGTACCAATAAATCTGTCACATGGCCGATAGGATGATCTCATGATATTGTCACATGTTCCCTTCTTCACTAATAAAGATTCTATTCATATTATCTAAGCCTTCCACTTGACCAAGGAACTTGACATGATGCACATACGAATAATGATTCTTTTAATCCTTTTGAACAGATTGTCCAACCAGAATAATTCTAACAGTAATGACATATCTCCCCGTAAATCTAAACCTCGCGTAAAACCCAACATGTTCACCATGAACTTTGACACATCGAGTACAAAGACAAAAGATGAGTTTGTGGTAACCAAGACAACGAGACCAGAGAGTGGAAAGAGAGTGAAAGAGAGGCCATTGAGTAGTAAAGGTTCGGTCATGACACCAGTCAATAAGACAAGTATAGGAGCTTATTTACAGATGAAGAAAGGCGGACATCTTGGATCAGCAGGCACAGGTAAGTGGCAAGTGGAAAATCATTTGCTGTTTTTGTAACGGAGGGGGCGGGGACACGGATGGCCAAACGTGGGTGTTGTATAATAGGGTCTATCATTGAGTCAGCTGACGTGGTTTTGATTCCTCGGTTGTAAGTGACAAGGTTTAGGATCACCTGTCCAACCTCATTTGTTTTCTCCAGGTCCTCCGGGTTTCCTCCCATGGCTAAAGACCCCTATGGGCAAGCAAATTATTGAAATAAAATTGAATCATGTGTTAGTCCTGAAATAACCTAGTTTGTGTTGAGTGGATGTTAACACCCCATTTCTCTCTTTCTCTCTCTAATTGTCCAAATGTTTTATAGCATTACTCTGTCTGCAATTCTAATGAAATAAAATAAAATGTTTTTAACACCCTACTTTCTGGTTGCAACCGGGCTATGGAAGACGAACATATACCATGTAGTGTGCTGTGAGGTAAATTGTCCTCAGACAGCAGCATTTCTATGGAATTCCAGCTGTGAATGGCACCACGCTGGGAAATCCAGGGGGGGGGGGTGGATGGCTGAATGTTTAGCGTGCGTGCGCTGTATCATAAAGTCTGTCATTGAGTCGACTGGCGTGGTTTCGAATCCCCGGTTGTACGTGGCAAGGAGTAGGGTCGCCTGTCCAACCTCGTGGGTTTTCTCCGGATCCTCCGGTTTCCTCCCACTGCTAAAGACCCCTACACGCAAGCAAATTATGTAAATGAAATTAAACAATATGTTAGTCCCAAAATGACCTAGTTTGTTTCAAGTGGACGTTGAACCCCATTTCTCTCTTTCTCTCTCTGGGAAATCCAGATGAACTTTCTCAGCATTCTGCACACAGAGATCCATCTATTTCCCAATTCAAGAATAGATCTCTGCCCTGAATGGCCACCATATCCAAAAATTAGTATACTGTTTTGTAATGCGGTTCTACTTTGTTTCACATCTGTCATACATACAAAGACTAAATAAACCTTGTCAATTGTATTAAATGGAAGCAGAATAACAACTTAAAGGGCCAATCCCGATAATATTTTGGAGAATAAAACTGCTTAATTTTGTTTTAAAACTAACTCAATATATGTGATACATTTTCAAACAACTTAAACCTGTCAGTCTTAATCTGGAAATGGAGATCGATGTCCCAAGCTGTATTATGTGGTGTCTGGATAAAACCAGACTTTTATTTTATTAAAATAATGTGTAGCTGAAATTTTCCTCTCGTTATCAAGTACAGCATGTGGTCCATGCACTGTATAGACCTCTAAAGGAACGGGAATCCATTATCAGGTCACCCAAGGAAAAAATTGACCCGAAATCTTAAAAGGGTTACGTGTCCGGATAAGCAATTTTGACATTCACGTCCAAACGACTCAGTATTTGGGGCTGAAATTTTGGGACAAGGTGGATACACCACTTCTCTATTTTGGCGCTTAAGTTTCATGATACTTGGACTTTTATTTTTGAGACTCTGTTCAAATCAGGATAGTCCCGGTCGATTTAGGACTTGAAATGTCGGTCAGTTAACTTAGTGTCTGTTCTCAAGTGGAGCTAACTATAGAAATGCAGGCTCAGTTTAGTATTGTTTCTCAGCCAACACCAGGTTGTAAACCAGAGTGTAAAATCCTCGGGATCTGTCTCTGTTCACGCCTAGATTAAACCAAAACAATCCTAAATGTGAGCCTATCAATGCATATTTTTGATTTACAACTATTTTCAGGTCGTCCACCATCAGGAAAAGTCAACAATTCCAGTAACCAGAGTAACAAGACAGATAACTCTGATTATTCTCCCACTATGTTTGTTTGTAACCAGTGTGATAAAATGTATGACAGGGAACGTGATTTAGAAATACATCGTTCGTATTGTACCCCTTAAGACACGGTGCCCATAATATATATAACCGTTGTGCGATATTTGTATCAGACAAAGTCTGTAACAGGCCTCTAATGTCTAGACTTTATAATTCAAAATTTCGTTTTACTTGTCTTTACTACACTGAAGAGTTTACTGAGGAGTTGTTATCATTGAAATGTTCTGGCTGATGTGAGGGATTAGCCAATGAAACGGTCTGTTACGGCGAGCTTTTGGTGCACGGAACTGTGGGTAAACCACCGGAAACGTCAACGCGGATTGATTAATTAATGTCTGACTTCATTTATTAGCAGCTGAAAATCATTCATATTTTAATGTTTCCTTGTTTTTCACTACATGTAATTTTCAGATATAGCATTTCATTTTCTTTATAATACAATTGTAACTATATCCTGTCTTGTACATTAGCATTAGTGATGTTCACAGTGTACAATTTAATTACTATTATATATAAACTAAATTTATATATCATAGATTCTTTAAAGTGCTCTTATGTATTGGTGGCACCTTGTTGTCAGGTTCATACTGTAGATTCTTTTAGCTTGTGTCTTTTAGGTGTGTCTAATATGTGGCGGAATTCTGTAGGCGGGTCCATAGGGTAGATTCATTTAGCTTATGTCTTAGGTTGCACATAGTGATGCATTATAGTTATATTAAAGTAACCATTGTATTTCTTTAACCATTTCTCTCCCCTGATTAAAACCAAACATAAATCTTGTATGTTCTTTAATTTATGTAGGTATCCAATTTATTTCAGTCCGTCCTGAAATTCGTCTCTAATTTATTACATGTTTATTGTTGTTATTAGTTATATTAAAATGTTATTGATTCAAATATTTATGTATTATATGAAATTTTTATTTTGTAATTTAGAATTTTATACAATAAACTATTTAATTGTTGTGTGTTTTGAATTTATAGAACTCTCACTAATACAAAACTACAACAAAAATTTGAACTAAGAAGTGATATCCGGTATTCTAGAAAATAAGTGTAAGCTCTTTTTGTGAATTGATGGACCCTGGTCGTTTATGTTGGCCCTGGTCGTTGTCATAGAATATAATCAACTGTGCATTCGGTTCTGTTTCTTTGTTTAATTTCGCAATAAGCCGCCGGGGATGGGTTTTAATTACATGTACGTATTATTTCCCCACCGGAGAACAAAATATAAACGGGTGTACCACAGGGCTCTGTTCTAGGACCCGTACAACTTCGCTTTCATATAAATGCATTAAAACATATTGGTCAGTTAACTAATAGGGAAATCGAACACAATGTCTACAGTGAAAGATTAAACGTGGAAGTTTTATACTATACGTAAGGATGGGAAAACGATTTCAAATAATGATGCATTTACGTTTGGGTTATGGAATCGATCGGTTGCTCCCAAGCCTTCAAGATCTCAACGCCATAGTGGTATCCAGGGCGAGTTATGCGTGTGAAATGAAACGCAGATTATTTAACTTCTGCAAAAGTACAAGAGAAACTAAATACAATATTTCCGCGATTAGAGCTTTATACGCCGATCTAGAATATCTAGTTAATATTTCCGCGATCAGGGCTTTATACGCCGATCTAGAATAATATTAAAATGTTTCCGCGATCAGAGCTTTATTCTCCGATCTAGAATAATCTAGTTAAAATTCTTCCGTGATCAGAGATTTATATACGCTGATCTAGAATAATCTAGTTAATATTTCCGCGATCTAGAATAATAATGTAGTTAATAGTAGAAATTTAGAAAACACTCGAAAACCAGACTGTAAATATATTTTTACTTTTCCGTCAACAAGTAAAAAAAACCACGTAATTATATGACCCGGACAATACGATTAAAGGAAAACATGAAATAAAACTGTTTCCTATGTTAAAGTTACGACTCTTTATGTCGCCAATGTAGCGAAATAACATCATTTTAAGTCCTTTGACTACTCTTTTTTAACTTTTTAACTTTCTTTTTAAAAAAAGTCAAATCTCTTCAATGGTATAATCCCACCATTCATCATGCATGGACGGTGGTTGGTAATTTTACTTTCACATAGACCGACACCTGTTTGACCAGTCTGTCGTAAAACCCGAATCACGTGACAAACGATTGGTTAATTACTGTTGACAATTATAGTCCACGTTACCTTCATATAGCCATGAATGAAATAGCAAGGCGGTGAGGAATCCATATATGTTAACGGTCACACAAATGAAATGAAAGAAGGGGGGGGGGGATTGGGTTTAACGTTCACTCGACACAAACGAGATTATTTCGGGACTAATTTTAAGTTAAACCATAATATGGTTCAATTTTAATTCAATAATTCGCTTTTCCGTAAATGTCTTTAGAAGCGGGGGAAAGCGGAGAAAAGCCACGAGGTTAGACAGGCGACCTTACTCCTTGCCACGTTCAAACGGAGAATCAAAACCACGCCATTTGACTCAATGACGCACCTTATGATTTCACGCGTACTCGTTAAACCACCAGAGCACCCAAACCCCCACAAATGAAATGAAATGGGGTTTAAAGTAGTCAAGTCTCTAACTCAATATCATCCAAAATCTTCCACATCGAAAACACGAATTATTTGTTAATTTAAATCAACATTGATGTTGTGATCTTACCGGGAAAGGGTAGGCTTCCGATATGCAATATTCAAGACAATATAAACATTTTACCATTGGTACACGAATCGTGTACCATAATGCGTTTCAGCGTCATTTGTAACAAGGGACTTAAAAATAAGGCTAGACATATTCCACAAGTCATGTCAAACGGTGACTTCATATTCTTATATGGAGAGCATGCGCAATGAATACTATCAGTGTATTAACCAGACGCCAGAGATTTCCATTCGATTAAGACTTCTGGTGTTTTTCGCCGAACATAATTGTTTTGAAATTAGAGTAAAAACGGACCTGAATGTAAATCAGTTAATATATTCATATTACCTTATTATATGCGTTGCGACCTATTTGTGTCAATTTCTAGGTCCGGAATATTAGCGATTTAGCTCCTTTAACGTCCGACTGTTCTGGGCTAATAACGACAGGAATAAGCCATACAGAGTGTTATGGGGAACATTTTGTTCGGACAAGGCGTTTTGTGCTACTCTTCGTCGAATTCCACCTGTCCAAGCTTTTTTTTACGTGCACAAGGGATCGCGGTATTTTGCCCCGCCAAAATGAATGTTCCTCTTCAGACCATTCGTCCTGCACCACGTACGCTGAAAAAACCCAACAGCCACGATATTCACAAATAATAGCGTCAATAAATATATTTTTCTAAGAGTGTGTATAGTTTAAAGGGGGATTATAAGCGCTAAATCTGCCTATTGTAAGGCCTCTTTCAGTTTCAAATGTTATATAAATTACTAATTTGACATATATTAACATGCCAAGACCATAATTATCTTTCTAGACCATTGGATGCTCGCGATTTGCAATGGGTTGAAACAAAATCGTCGTTTAATAATTTAATTAAAAAATAGATAATCGAGACTTTGTTTGCTATCGTAACAACGGTAGCCATGACAATCGAGACTCTGCTATTCTCCAAACAGTGATAACTTCGCTCAGAATAAAGTAATTTGACTGAAAATTTCAATATCTTAATTTTTCATTATCTATTTCTGAAGTATTATACCAAGAATTCTCAGGGTTTTGGGGTTTTTTTTTTATCTATATCTTACATAATGCATCCTTTAACGTAAGAAAAAGCACATCGAGTACTGGCCTTAGATGGTAAATGTGGGCCCGGATAAAGACCTTCAGATATAGGCATTGAAAAGTTGATAGTTCCCCTAAATGTATGTAATTCAAAATAAACACAAATTTCGAAAAAATGAAACAAAACTTTCCTTTTGCCGAAATTAGAAAAAAAACTTCCTTTTTTTAGATTTTCTAAGCGCAAAATCAATTGCACTGCTTGCACTAGTAATAATTTACATGTTACATATGTTTTCGGATTATGTAAATCCCTAGAAAATAACGTAATTAGATTGACCTACTAAATATCCATTTCTAAATTAATTTGACTTGGCCTAACAATACAAGAGTTGACGTTAATAATGAGAGATGTTAAAAGTAAAGTGAACAAGTTTGTCAAGTTGTAAGTAGAAACCGTGGTACTACACGCTACTTTACATAGGTACAATAGTTAATATTATCTTTAAACTTCCATTCACCTCCCCCGACTTGTATTATACCAGCTTCCTTTCACCTCCCTCGGTTGATTTACAACTTCTCCTGTTTGATACACGGACATCGTCTTGAAAGCCAGACATAGGATTTAATAGCAATAATCTAGAATAAGGTAAGATCACTAATTATATTTATTTATTTATATCTTTAACACCCTACAAACCCGAATAACGGTTAATATAGAGCTTCAGACGATGTACTTTTATAAAAAAACAAAACAACAAAAACACTTATGCCCCATTAGACAAATAGATCAATTCTAATGTATGGTCATTTATATTTTACATTGGTTTCTATTGACTTCATAATAAATCATCGTAATAAATTGTCTGTTAAAACTAACTTTAGTTATAGCCATTTAAAATTTATTTACATTGATTGTCATGATTATGTAATAAAATTATTCTATGATCTCTTCTGTAAAAGACTGTGAAGGTTTGTATATTTGAAATTGATCTATTCTTGAAGAGAGAGAGAGAGAGGGAGAGAGAGCCCCCCCCCCCCTTCCCGACTCCCTTTATTCTTTACCGTACGGCCATTTAAAGTTTATATCGGTTACTATTTACGTCTCAACGCCTTGTAAGTTATGTAATTAATAATACTGAGAGAAATGGGATTAAGTGTCCGCTCGACACATATCGTTTCAATTTTATTTCAATAACCGGCTTGCGCGTAGTGGTCTTTAGATGCGGGAGGAAAACATTGGACCCGGAGAAAACCCATGAGGTTGGACCAGCGACCCTACTGCATGTCACGTACAAGCGGAGAATCGAAATCATGCCACTTGACTCAATGACAGACCTTGATCTAGCGCGCACGCGTTAAACCTTTCGGCCACCCAACACCTATTAATTAAAGATACATTATGGGAGATTCGATAACGAGTTGGTAGTTGTCACTATAATAGTTAAAAACTAGGTAATGTAAAGGAAATTTGCTGAAAATTCCATTCAAATTGATCCACTATGAACCGAGAACTAAGCGATTGAAATTTCCGCATAGCCTCGATCATCATTACTAAAGTCAGTACGATAAACAGCATAGTCTCGATTATCCACTTAATCGTTAAATCGTGAAGGAAAGTTATCCAGTAAATCGACTCATAATCCAATAAGGATCGCAGGCTAGCGTTGTCATCGAGGGTTGATTATGGTCTGGATAAGTGAATTAATGTCTAATTAATAATTTAGATAACATTTCAGGCCTAAAGAAAGACCTGCAATAGACAGAATTAGCTCTTGCATAATGTATGTTTAATAAAAATTCTGTTATGTCTTCCGTTAAAAGTCAGACTAAGGTTCGCTAAATAATCAGATGTCCCTTTAAAATACATTCAAATAGTACTTGCTTTGACTTATGGAGCCACGGTGACTAGGTGAGTAAGACGCTGGCTCGCTAACCTAGAAGTCGCGGGTTCGATCCCGGTGTTACCCGAGAAAGTTCATCTGGATTTTCTGGCGTGGTTTCCCCTTGTCAGTGATGCAGGACAGGTTGTCTGACAAAGACAGGTGTCTAGTCGTTCGGATTGGACGAAAAATCTAGGTCCCGTGTACACATTTGGGGTGCACGTAAAAAATCCCTTGGCAGTTGGAATTCGATGTAAGAGTATTCTGTAGCGCAACTGTTCTGGCAAAATTTCTCTTTAGCACACTGTATGGCGTATGCCCGTCTTAATTATCCCAGTTGGAGCAGAACAGTAGGACGTTAAAACCTATTTCATTTCATTTTATCTTTATCTTATGAGGATGTGAACGATCTAGCTCATTTTTTTTATTGTGAAATTTAAGTTTCACAATAAATTTTCCTATTTTGATACTGATATCATACATGTATATGCAAATGTATAAATTAAACTTGTATTAATAGTACACGAAATGTTAGGCCCGAAATGGCCTGGTGATTGTCGAGTGGGTTTTATTGTTTTGTCTTATTTTATATAAGGGTAGGAAAAGCAACCTCCCGTGCAAAATTCTCCTTCCTCGCACTGCACATGTAACCATAGAATAACAATTACCACATGTAACCATAGAATAACAATTACCACATAACAATTACCAGATGTAACCATAGAATAACAATTACCAGATGTAACCATAGAATAACAATTACCACATGTAACCATAGAATAACAATTACCACATGTAATTTCTTCTTGAGTAAACTAAAATACTTAAAATAAAAGCTTTATGTGAAATGTAAAATTCAAGCTGTTTGTCGTGTACAAGATTATCAAGAAACGGACATATTGTGCCCTCGAGTCCTTACCAGTCAACTAGATTAACCTTTTGTTATACTTGTAATAAACACTGACTTCTTTCACGTGAGAGAGTATCTATGTCAGTAGAATAGGTAACCGATACACAGTCCAAAAAAAGAAAAAAAAACGCTTAGCGCACTTGCTTTAAAGAGTTGCCCAGACAGCGTTTCTATATTCATAATGTACTGTCGAATTAAAATAAGATGAGGTTTGACGTCCTACTGTTGTGCTCCAACTGAACTGGGGATTTGGGTGGTCGAAGGTCGGTCATTGAGTCAAGAGGCGTGGTTACTGGGCTAACGAAGACGGGTATACGCCATACAGTGTGCTATGAGGGAAATTTTGCCCGGGCAGCGGGCTTACTTTTATATCGCCTACTCTTATATCGAATTCCAACTGCCAAGGGATCTTTTACGTGCATTCCAATGTATACACGGGACCTCGGTTTTTCGTCTCATCCGAAGGGCTAGACAACTGTCCTTGTCAGGCCCTCCGTTCTGCACCACTGACAAGAGGAAACCACGTCGGAAAATCCCGAGCTAGCGAACCAGCGTCTTAACCACGTTCTAGTTTTGGTGTTCCAAAAGGTGTTATATCCCCCCCTCCTCCACACACCCACATACACACCTATACAAGGTGACGTCCTCTCCCCCACGGCCGGATTTAGTTTTATTACGTAATTGACTCAAAAATAAACAAACAAGGCGATAGTTTATTACCCTTTCCCTTTAAATTTCACCTATTATTGGCTATCATGTCACTATCACTGGTGTATACATGTAGCATGTCAAGTGTCATGTTGGCATGTCATGTCCTTATATATAAATAATGTTGTGTGCATTGAGGTACAGACGAATATAATTTGTGTATCGTTTACTTTTAGTTGTAGAACGGGAAAATGGTTTTTAGTTTTTATTTATGTGTGTGTGTTGTGGGCGAAAATCAAAGAAACCGACAAAAAATCCCAATTAACATGTCAAAAGTTTTGGTTTGTTTTTTGGGTCAGTTTTTAACTTACAATAGATTTAGAAATCTAGATTGACTAGAAAATCTTGATATTAGATCTATTGGTGCATAACGTGTGCGCTTTAGATCAGGTCTGTCAATATGAAAACATAAATTTATATGGAAAACAATCACTGATTTTATTTCACACTACGTTTCAACAAGTTCATCTTGTCGTTCTCTTATTAACTTACTAGAAATTAAGAGCCATGCATCTGAGTTGTCGCCCCTGTCTTTGGGAACATTTAAACAATCTACAGAATTTCTGAGACTGGCGTTGATAGAACGGGTGGTAGCACGTTTTAAAACATGATGACGGACGTCGTAGTGCGAATAAAAAAATATGTTTGAAATTGTGTAAAAATTTTCTTGTTCGAGGAGTGTCTTTACATCTTTACGACACTGCCCTTTATATCAACTTTCTTTTGAAAGCAAAGATAGTTCCTGAAATACGTCAATGAGTGGCGCAAGTCGACCTCAAACTTGTTTATGGGCGTCGATATGTCAATCAACCAATTATTATTAGTGTTAATGGTTTCGTATCGTGACTAAAGTTTATAAGATGTTAAATTTATATATTTTTATACATTTAAACATATATTATGCAAGGGCTCAATCTGTATATCGCAGGTCTTTCTTTAGGCCTGAAATGTTATCTAAATTATTAATTAGATATTATTTATTAATTAACCTATCCAGACCATAATCAACTCTAGATGGCATCGCTAGCCTGCGATTTTGAGTGGATTACGAGCCGATTTACTGCATAACTTTCCTTCACGATTTAACGATTAAATGGATAATCGAGACTATGTTGTTTATCGTACTGACTTTAGTAATGATGATCGAGGCTAGGCGGAAATTTCAATCGCTTAGTTCTCGGTTCATAGTGGATCAATTTGAATGAAATTTTCACCAAATTGCCTTTACATTATCTAGTTTTTAACTATTATAGTGAGAACTTCCAACTCGTTATCGAATCTCCCATAATGTATCTTTAATGATGTTGTTTGTGTTGATAATTATTTGAATATAAACTTCTGTTTTCCTTTTCTATTTCTAGATTACGATGCCGTTAAGATCAGTAACGCTTCTACTTCCGGCAGGCGTTGCTTACGTCATGATTCTTCTCTTCGTTTGGGACTCTATCATCTTATGGACGTCCAGTCTGCTTCTGATGCCAGGTGGTTCAACACAGACCTCAAGCACTATACACCCCCAACTATTACAATTTACAAAAACTGACAGTAAAAACATTACCCAATCTTTGCTTACAACCCGAGATAATGCACTCAACAAGGCGTTTACAGGGCATCTTCATTTTTTGACAAAGCTCCCAGAATTTAGTTCAAACCAATCGCCCGACATTGGCGCTGGATACGGAAAATCCCCAAATTTAAAGTCAATGGACACTTTACCATTAACAGAAAACAAAATATTTCAAAGCTGGGTAGTTGAAACCGTTCCATTGCTGACTCAAAAACGCAATCCCCTAAATAAACTACGTAAGTCGTTCCCGAAAAGGAAAACCTGGGTAGTCGTAGATGCTCAACACCCATATCCACCAGATGGACCAAGTCGAAATGAAGTACACGAAGTTATTCCAAATATAACTTTCCCAGACATTCCAGTTCCAGCCCAACAACCATGTCATCCGAATACTTATCTTAGCGAGCAGTGCAAATCTCTCATTCAAAACAAGAAAACGCACGATTTACCCAAACCCCAGTCAAAGCCATGTTCACTTACCGCTTTAATCAAAAACTGTTCGAGATTTCGATTAGTTCATGGATATGATGATGCCCCAATAACGAAAGAAGAAAGAGAATTTCCTCTTGCATTTGCGATTAAGATGCACACGTCACCAATACAAGCTGAGCAACTTCTGCGCGTGATTTACAGATCTCACAATTTCTACTGCATCCATGTGGACAAAAAAGCAGCTGACTGGATATTCAAAACTATGGAAAGAATATCCAGATGTTTTGATAATGTACATGTGTTGGTTCGTCGCGAAAACGTGGTTTATGCGAGCTATGGCGTCATCGCAGCTGAACTCAAGTGTATGAAAGCTAGCATGAATGCGGGAATCAAATGGAAGTATTATCTAAATCTGAGCGGACAGGAATTCCCGCTGAGAACAAATTTTGAAATTGTGAAGATACTGAAATATTTTAACGGTGCTAATGACATAGAAACGTTCGATCTGCCACGTTCACAAGAATGGCGATATAACGTAAAGCACCGTATCCTGGAAGACAAAATGTATAATTCACAAGAGACCAAAACTGAATTTCAATACAACCTGTCGCTGAGCAAGGGAAGCGCTTACGGAATGTTTACTCGTGGATTCATTCAGTTTATTCTCCAGGACGACATTGTTCAGAAGTTCTTGGAATGGCTTCAAGATACTTATTCTCCTGACGAAACAGCTTGGGCAACCTTGAACACGTTACCATGGGCCCCGGGTGGTTATTCTACCGAGTCACGTCACACATTCGACACGCATGCATCACGTGCTGTGATATGGGATTGGGATCATGGTGTCACGTGCCATGGGAAACATGTCAGAAGTGTTTGTGTTTTGGGGTCACGTGATTTACCTTGGCTGTCATTGCGACCGAACATCTTTGCCAATAAATTCGACATTGACTATGACCCCGTTGCTATAGATTGTCTGGAACAATTTATAAATTTCAGAACCAAACATCCGACATTTTCTCAGACTAACTGGAAATATTTTTTGAATATGCCTCACGTGGCTCATTACAGGACCAAAAATAGAACGGAATCCGTGGAAACATTTCTACAGCAACGAAAACAGACATGGCTGAACAGACACGAGCGAGATAGTAAACGCTGAGAAATCAATCACAAGTTTACATTTGTAAAGGTTTGGGATGCGTAATACTGCGATAAACATTCTAAAAATGTTGACCATGACCCGATGGACAGAATTCTTCGACGTTTATCAGCTGTAAAGAATGGAAACAGTAATCATACTGTCATTTGTGCTGTGCTAATGGCCATCTTGTTTTGGACCATATTACGTGGTAGAATTGTCACGAAGCCGAGTCCCCTATCGTCAAAATGCGACGACATCAATGGAATGTTATCTTTGACTTATCAATATAAATACAATGCTTCACTTGTATTTAATGAAACGCTTGGAACAATCCTTAGTCTCATATTGAATTGACACTCGGCAAACCTCGGCAGATTCCGTTACTCTACATCTAGATGCAGGGTACCGTAATCTGCTGAGGTTTGCCGAGTGATTGATTTGGCTGCTCTTAATACCCGAAGTGATTCTGTAAACAACCACTGTGCAAGCCTTTAAAATTACTTTTTGTGTACCTTGTTGACATGTTGCCATGAACAAGACTTTTCCTTTGACATTTTGGCTACATTTTCCATTAATCCGGTAACCTTGGAAACCGGAATTGCTGTTAATTTTGAGCACTATGAGTACGTGTTGGTACAAACAGGTTCGCTGTAAGTCCAAATCGGGTGTGACCTAAAGACGTAGTTAATTATTTAATCTAAACTTTACATCACTGTCATCTATAGAATCCGGTTTAAGCGCTCGACCTGGCTCGACCATCTTTGTTTTAAGGGGATAAAGAAGTTCTACAACACATTAAATGTCAATCTGACTCCATCTTCTTTAATCTTACACCCATTAAAACTATTTCCAGGTTTTTTTATTCATTTGTTATTCAAATTGTTTTTCTTTAGTGCTTGAGATTTTTTTGTAAATACAATTCCACTAATCATTGTGACGTGACGAAGGTCATGAACTATTTTTAGAATCACGACATCTTTATTTGGATATGTGCGTGTTTAATATTCTTTAGAAGTCGACATTACAAAAATAAAAGTAGTAGAACATGGTTGGTTTTTAAACTTTTTTCCCACAAAGTTTTATTTATACAAATTAATTGTATAAGTTATGGTCCGTTGCTGAAGACGCCCATTTTGTATCTTTGTCTTCTTCTTGTTCAACGATTTCGCGATTGGGTGCTATTATATAAGGGCATAGTTGCGACAAAAATGAAGAAAGAGAGAGAAATGGGGTTTAACATTCACTCGACACCAACTCGGAACTAACATCTAGTTTAATTTTAGTTCATCAAAAAGCTTGAGGGAAACCGGAAGACTCGGAGAAACCCACGAGGTTGGATAGGCGATCCTATCCTTGTCACGTACAAGCATGGAATGTAAACATCACCCCTTGACTTAATGACAGAAATGAAATGGAATGGGGTTAAACGTCCTTCAGTTCTGCTCCGACTGGGTTAATGAAGACGGGCATACGCCATACGGTGAGCTATTAGGGAAATTTTGCCTAGACAGCGGAGCTACGGCCTACTCTTATATCGAATTCCAACTGCCAAGGGATGTTTTTCTTACACACCAATGTGTACACGGGACCTCGGTTTTCCATCCGAACGGCTAGTAAGCTGTCCTTGTCAGACCCCGCGTCGTGCACCACAGACAAGGGGGGACAATCACACCGGAAATCCTCGAGGAACTTTCTTGGCCAACACCGGGGTCGAACCCGTGACCTCCAGACTAGCGAGCCAGCCTCTTACTCATTTAGCCACCGTGGCTCCCGACTCAATGACAGGCGTGGTTGATCTAAAGCGCACAAGTTAAACCCAACCCCCTATGCTTAGGCATAGATGAGCCTGCTTCTTATTTTCGTCGTCCATAGAGCCACAAATAACCATCAAGAACAAGCGTGTGTTCGTTTGGTTTTTGTTCAACCATTCGATCAAATGATCACAACAAAATGGGGATCACGTGGCTAAGTGGGTAAGACGCTAGCTCGCTAGCCTGGAGGTCGGGTGTTCGATCCCTGCATTGGCCGAGAAAGTTCATCCAGATTTTCCGGCGTGGTTCTCCCTTGTCAGTGATGCAGGACGGAGGGGCTGACAAGGAATGCTGTCTAGTCGTTCGGATGGGACGAAAAATCGAGGTCCCGTGTACACATTGGCGTGCACGTAAAAGATCCCTTGGCAGTTGGAATTCGATATAAGAGTAGGCCGTAGTGCCGCTGTCCGGGCAAAATTTCCCTCATAGCACACTGTATGGCGTATGCCCGTCTTCATTAGCCCAGGTTAGGAGCAGAACAGTAGGACGTTAAACTCCATTTCATTTCATTTCATTTCACAACAAAATGCCCGATTTCATCAAGTCGTAACAACTTCATATAAACACTGGTGAGTAAATAGGAAATAAAATGAAATGGGTTTTAACGTCCTACTGTTCTGCACCGATCAGACTACTGAAGACAGGCATACGCCATGCTGTTGGATATGGGGGACATTTTGTCCGGACAGTGGCAAACGAATTTACGGCGTTTTTGATACCTGTTTTTGAAATAGGAAGTGCTTGCATACTCTTGGAAATCTACTTGGGTGAATCTCTGCAAGAAAGTCCAAGGCTCCGCCAATTCGAGTACGATTCACATAAACCTGGCATGCTTGTTGTTTGGACAATTGACGGACACTTCGATGACTTTAAATAGCATTAGGGGCCAAGGTGGCTCAGTGAGTTAGACATTGGCTCAATAACGACGGACACTTCGATGACTTTAAATAGCATTAGGGGCCACGGTGGCTCAGTGAGTTAGACATTGGCTCAATGACCTGGAGATCCCGTGTTCGATCTAGGTGTTCGTCGAGAGGTTCATAGGGTTTTCCGGCGTAGTCCCCCCTTGTTGGTGCAAGACAGGAGTCCTTGCAAGGCACAACGTATAGTCTTCATTTGCCCAACCGGAGCAGAACAGTAGGACGTTAAACCCCATTTCATTTAAATAGCATCTCAAATAAATACCTAAAGAAAGACAACAAAATGTTATAGAAAAAAAACCGATAATTTACTTCTAAAGGAAATGTACAAATTCGGGTTCCATAGTATATCTACAATAAACCAAACCTTATCAAAAGTAGGGACCTCGACTCCCAGGGGTCCTTATCTATTCTTTTAATTAAGTCACTCTGCAATTTTTATTGATGATTATTTTTAAAAAGTATACATCTTTTAATATATTAATATTTAGACTGGTGTTCGGCCAGTAACCCGCCCTCGATAGTTTTAGGGACGAGTTCCCTGTACGTGCCCGGTGGTCGAATATTGGCACGTGATATGCTCGAGGTCCCTACTTACGATGTGGTCATTGAGGTATAAGTCGCGGGAAATACACATAATGTCATAAACCTTGGGCGCATTTCGATGCCATAGATACACGTCCAACAAATAAAGAATTTAACTTTAAAATAAAATGCCCAGATAAATCAAGGTTTGGAGTTATTTCCCCTTTGGAACAAATATGCATAGCATGAAATTTGACTAAGTATCCAAAGTTACAAATAAATTAATCGATTATTTATACTCTAAAATTTAAAAAAAAAATCTCCATTCGAAAATAGAATCAGGATTAAAATTACGTCATATCGCGATTTATTTCCCAATCAAACAAAGAAAAATATCCGTTGACAATAAAAACATACTCGCTTTACATGATTAATGGGATATATATTAAATACATTTAAATAATTTAATTTTCTTTATCACAGTGGCTGATGGGATAACATTGGTACCGGAACAAGAATAAAGTTCAAGGTCGGGTCAACTGCAGGTCACGGTTATAATTACATAGCTTAAAGGTTAAAGTTCGTGGTTCAAAGTTGAAAGTTAGTTGGAGATAAACATTTTTTTAAAAAACACACACGGCTCATTCAAACATACATTATGATGTTGATAATTTTACATACATAAATATATACAAAATCTGACCTGTTAATGCCATTCAAAAATAATATTTTTTTGAAAAAGAAAAAAAAAACAACGATTAAAAACAGTTCTTTAAAATCTACATAGATTCAATATTTAAATTTTTCCCGAAAAGAAAAAGAAAAAAATATGGCAAGAGAAAAAAAATGACACACAACTTTTAACTAACCAGTCTGCACAAATGGTTTTTTTTTTTTTTTTTATTATTATCAATATTTTGTCTTTTGGCAGAATTTTGTTTGGCTTCTTTTATTGTTGCAAGTCACGTAAAGCCGAGCTGTCCTATCCATAGCTTGTGTTACACTGGAAGTAGGCCTAAATCTAAGAGTTTCTGGCGACGAAAGATATTTTGGTCTAAAAGTAGATCCAAACTGTCTAAAAACTATATCACACTCGTTGAAACAAACAAATAAATAGAAATAGAACAAGCGAGCGAGGTAATCCAATCGCAGTGCTCTCCCATTGATTAGTCCTACGTCATAAATGACATAAGAGCCTAAGCCACGCCCCGTAGAGTTTGTTTCCTATGTAAAACCGTAGATTGGTGGTGAGTTCGGGTAATTCAACTGGAGTTTACAATCCATAATTTAAATTCCACGGAATTTTCTTTTGGTGGTAGGGGGAGGCAGGAATTCAACTGGAAAAGGGTGGTGTAAAGACATGTTATACTAAAAATAGACACCGAGTATACATCCATATACAATATAGTCAGTTTCATATATATATGTAGGACATATTAATCAATGTTCATTATTCATAAAAAAAAAACATTTTGTATAACATAGTTTACATTTTGACAATAAAACAAATACACAACATTTGAATTTAAAAGAAAACAAAAGGGCCTAGAGCATGCTATGACTACGCGCAGGGCGGCATGCAATCGCTGCAAACAGATACATTTCTATGCTAATAGATCATCTGTTTTCTACGTTTTAAAAAAATGGGAATGGCAAATAGAAAACGCAGTACAGATAACGCTATCCAGCGCAATTCGCCTATTTGGATTGGACGGCTAAGCTTGATGCAATATTTGCATTTCTCCAGTCTTCATTACAAAACTCCAGAAACGAGGCAGGGAAAATAACCTCGTTATCACCTTAGAACATCTCAGGATAATCTGAAAATAGGGATAAAACAATGCCATTATTACTGACCAATCGTATCGTTGTATTTTGAAATTAATGTTAATGCGTTAGTGCCTGTATTGTTTAAAAATAATGTATAGAAAGGTTTGTGTATTCCGGGACTACTTTTTCCTATGTTATAACATCTAATATTTCCCCTTTGACCCGTTTAATATATTTAATACTTGTCCGTTTCTTTAGATACTCCCATTCTGTCTCGATCGGTTATCCTATCTATTAAACAAATGTTACCCTAATCTTATATTCAATACCTATTTATCGTTTATAAACCATTTTTGGTATATGCCCTAATCTTATATACAATATCCATTTGTCGTTTATAAACCATTTTGGCCTGTACCCTAATCTTTAATTCTATGCCCATTTATCGTTTATAAACCATTTTGGCCTGTACCCTAATCTTATATACAATATCCATTTGTCGTCTATAAACCATTTTGGATTGTACCATAATCTTTTATACTATGCCCATTTATCGTTTATAAACCATTTTGGCCTGTACCCTAATCTTTTATTCTATGCCCATCTGTCGTTTATGAACCATTTTCAAACCCCCTTTGTCTGTATCCTATGCCCATTTTTCGTTTATAAACCATTTTTAGCCTGTACAATAATCTTTTATTCTATACTCATTTGTTGTTTATAAAGCATTTTTGGTCTGTACACAAATCTTATATACAATACCCATTAGTTGTATATTGACCATTTTAGCCTGTATCCTAATCTTATATACTATATCCATTTGTCGTCCGTAAACTTTTTTTGCCTATATTCTTCTATTATAACCTACCTAAACTTAATTTTTCACCAAACACCCTATACCCACCCCATTACCTATTTGCTACGTAGAACAATGCGGTGTCGGTGAATGTATTTATCACCCACCTGTTAACTCATCATGTACCCTACATACTGTTATCCTATACTTTACCCATTATTCGTCATATATACCCATCTGGCATCCTACCCTTTACCCATTATTCGTTATATATTCCCACCTGTCCTGTCATTTACGCATTATTCACCATATAGTCCCATCTGTTATCTTATCCTTTACACTTTATTGGTTATATATTCCAATCTGTTATTCTATCCTTTACCCATTATTCGTTATATATACCCATCTATTATCCTATCCTTTATATATTCCCATCTGTTGTCCTATCCTTTACCCATTATATATACCAATGTCCTATCTCATCTGGCATCCAATCCCATACCCACCTTTTATATCCTTTACTGCTTTATTTTTTATGCCATATATCTTATCATTTATCCTATCTTTTATAGATCAGTTGTCCTATCCTTTACCCATCATGTATCTAATAATTTACACACCATTTATCCGATCTTTTACCCATCATTGATAATAATAATAATCGTCTTATACAGCGCTGGAATTTCAACCAAATGGCTGCTCATTGGCGCGAAAATTCATCCTATCTTTTACCCATCATTCATACTATACTTTACCAATCATTTATCCTATTCTTTACCATCATGAATCCTATCTTTAGCCCATAATTTACCCATTAGTCATAGCACTTATCCAAAATTTATCTTATAAGTTACCGTCATTTATTGTATTCTTTACATACCATTTGTCCTAAAATATATCCTATGATCCCCCCCCCCCCGCTCAATCATCCGATGCTTTATCCCCCCCCCCCATTCATCTTATGACTTTCCTGGTAATTTATCCGAAATTTTTCCTACGATTTGCCCCTCATTTACCCTATACCTTACATTCGATAATTTACCCAACTCGATATCATTTGTCCTATTATTAACCCCTCATTTATCAAATACTTTTACCCACCAAAACCCATCTTTTATCCCATACTTTACCTAATAATTTTACCCAACACTACTCATTATCATGTATCCTATTATTCACCCATCTTTTATCCTATAATTTACCTATCTATCTATCCTATAATTTATCCTACTATTAACCCCTCATTTATCTAATAATTTTACCCACCACTACCCATGATGTATCGTATTATTCACTCATCATTCATCTGATAATTATCCCCATCGTTTTTCCTATAATTTACACAACTATATACCCCACTGTTGTCTCATTCTACACCCAGTATTTATCATATCAATGCAATCTCAATTTACCCACCTGTAACCGTATCTCTTACCCACCTGTTAAAATATCCTTACCAAATCATTTATCCATCGAGTATCATATATTCATTTAACCATTATGCGTATATCGTTTACATAATACAAATCAATTATCCTTTATTCTACCTATTATACATACTGATTAAGATTATTCTATCCATTACCCATACTGATTAATGTTATTCTACCCATTACCCATACGGATTAAGGTTATTCTAACTATTACCCATACAGATTAACATTATTCTATCCATTACCCATACTGATTAAGGTTATTCTACCCATTACCCATACCGATTAAGGTTATTCTACCCATTACCCATACCGATTAAGGTTATTCTACCCATTATCCATACCGATAAACGTTATTCTACCGATTAGCCATACTGATTATGGTTATTCTACCCATTACCCATACTGATTAAGGTTATTCTACCCATTACCCATACTGATTATGGTTATTCAACCCATTAGCCATACGGATGAACGTTATTCCACCCATTCTGATTAAGGTTATTCTACCCATTACCCATACTGATTATGGTTATTCAACCCATTAGCAATACGGATGAAGGTTATTCCACCCATTCTGATTAAGGTTATTCTACCCATTACCCATACTGATTATGGTTATTTATCCCATTAGCCATACGGATTAATGTTATTCTACCCATTCTGATTAAGGTTATTCTACACTTTAGCCATACTGATTAGGGTTATTCTACCTATTACCCATACTGATTAACGTTATTCTACCCATTACCCATACTGATTAAGGTTATTCTACCCATTATCCATACTGATTAAGGTTATTCTACCCATTATCCATACTGATTAAGGTTATTCTACCCATTATCCATACTGATTAAGGTTATTCTTCCCATTATTCACACTGATTAAGGTTATTCTACCCATTATTCATACTGATTAAGGTTATTCTACCTATTACCCATACTGATTAAAAACTAGCGAGTTTTGTTGGCATCAGATTTTCCTACGTGATATACACAAACCAATCTACAGCATTATCTAACAACAATTCATCTAACAAAACTAGCTAACTTTATTGGTTTTTAATTTATTATATTTTCTTTCTGATTCAAACAATCTAAAATAGAGATTGGAATGTAAAATAGCTTAACATCAAAATAGATATAAAAACAACTAAGACGAGTGGGTGGGATTTTAATGAAGAAATCACATATTATTAAATATCATTTAAAAGGATTTCATTTATATAATGTATATAAATCCAATCGAGTGTTGGTAATCATAACGAATAGAAAGACACGGTATGTGAGATTTAGATAAAGACCTGGCTGTTCTTGCTATAATAGTTCAAAAATGAATAATGCAAAATAAATATATTGAAAATGTCATTCAAATTACTTTATTCTGAGCAAAGTTATGGCTGTAGTTTTGACAAGATGTGTGCATTGATTGTTTATTATCGTAACCACAGTATTGGTATATTCGAGACTTAGCCTCGCTACTCCATTTTTAAATTAAATCATTAAATAGCCGAACAGTTCTAATGTCGATGGCATCGAGAGTTGGTTGTGGCCTTGGGGTGTTAACACGTATCTAATTAATAATTTATATAACACGTAAACCTAAAGAAAGACCCGCAATAGACAAATTTAGCTCTTGAATAATGTATCTTTAACTTAATACATTTAAAAATAGAATAGTAATGTGATGTAATCAGAACTGTGCTGAAATTATGACAGTTTTCACTATTGGTATATCACGTCATATCCGATATTAATTTAACAAATATGCTGAATATTAGTAAAATTTATATTTATTCTCTAGAAATGTAGTTTAACTCAATTTTATTACTAATATTTGTAGAAATTTACCCCCTTGATATCACGATTACCGTGTCTTGGGGCAATTTACATTATTTTACAGATTCATAACACTGAATTGCTTGGATGCATTAGGATTTCGCATATTTATTAGTCTATACAGTGGCTTATTTTAAACTTGTTATATTTTCTACAACTCGGTATTTAGTTATTATTAACAGTTCATTTGATTTATTAGAATAATCAACATCTCGATTGTTTTCTTTTTATTTTGTAAGAATGTATACTATAAGGATTTGCAAGACAATATTTCACACGAGTGTTACTTCATACAATTTTGTGTGATTTAAAAGGTTTGTTGATTTTTATTGTTTTACGGTACTTTTAAAATACATATATAAATATTAGATTTAATAGGAATTGTACATAATTATCAAAAATGAATCTTGACGCATTTTGTATGAATTCTTTTCATTTTCATAAGTAATTTTTAGCTTTTTAATGACTTCATTGGAAATTAACATTTATTGCAATTAGAATATCTTAAATGAATTAAACTGATTTTGAAAGTTTAAAAAATAAAAGAATTTACAACAATTTAAACTTTTTTTTATATCATGTTATGAGATTATTTTTCAGAATTTACAATATATTTTACAGATTAGGACATTTCGGGACCAACATATATGGTTCAACCTTATTTCAATAATTCGCTTGCGCGTAGGGGTCTTTAACAGTGGGGGGAAACAGGAGGACGCGGAGAAAACCCACGAGTTTGAAGAGGCAACCATACTCCTTGTCACGTACAACCGGTGAACCGAAACCACGCTAGTTGACTCGATGACAACGTGCACGCGCTAACCATTCGGTCATCTAACCCTCCTTACAGATTAGGAATTCATAGCATTATGGTACGTTCTCTTTCTATCCACTGATTAATAAAATCATTCCGTTTACAACATACACGTAGTTATTAAATTATAACTTCTCTAATTTATTTATTCTCTATAAAATACTATAGTCGATTTCAGTATTTAGCAAAATCAATACTTTTCACAAAAATTATTTTGATAATTGTATTATTCTTTGCATAAATAGAAATTTGTTGCTATTCTTGTGATTGTTTATATGGTTTTTTTTACATGTTTTTATATTTTTTTTTTACTTAACATGTGATTTCTTCTGGGTCGAAAAAATTAAATTCAAAAGTAAAAATTAAACCACGAAAATTAAAAAAAAAATGCAATACGTGAACTATTTTACTACTTATATTTTGCGGTTTTACATGCTGAATTTAATTTCTATGGGTTATTAGTGTTTTAATTTGTACTAAAAAATTTAATTTTTTCAACTAATTTTACAATTTATTCTTTATATAAAAATCAATTATTCAAAATAAATGAAATCCTAGATAAGATAAATTAATAAGCTAAAAGAAAGGCTCCGCTGCTGTAGCTGAAACGTAGATTTACCAATAAGACAGAAATGAAAGCACAACAAACATGCACGCGACTTGACATGAAAACATATTCATACACAAAACACAAATAAACACATAATCTTACCATTTCATCCCTGTTGAGTCTCTAACATTTTTACTTTTAAGTATTTCAGATCAAGAAAAGCAATATTTGGGTATCCCATAACGGAGATATCCAAATAAGGTTCCTCTCAATCTGTAATACTTTAGGGTGTACAAATATAAAATACTCCTGTGTTTGACGTTACCAAGGCAATAGTTAAACCCCCAAACACTTCCATTCCAATTTTTAAAATGGTAAAAGTGTTATTCGGTGAGTTTGGGAGTGAAAGCATTACCCATTAGCCATCTAGAAAACGTGGTCATGCAACGGTCTCTAGGTTACTAATAGTAACGGTGTGATAGTATATTTCTCTTTTGACAGACACTTTGATGAATACAATAATCTTTTAAATCAAAATGCACAAAATTTAACAAACTGATTCGGTGTTTCATATTCATCACCAATGAAAGTCAAAATAGAAATATACTCCAGATATAAATTAACAATTAAAATTTGGTAAACGCGAGAAATGGTCAATTTTCTATATAAACTTTCGTTTGGGCGAAACTCAAATTTTGCTTGCCAATGTATATCGGGTTTATGTCCTTTAAAATAAAATGTTTTAACAAACAACTAGGAGTGCATTACTCTTTCCATAATGATTACAATGCGATATTTTTTTTTAAAAATAATAACATTGTATGTTCAATGTGGTCAAGTAATGCGTAATTGTTCAAGATGTATTTCAGATTTAGAAAAACAATAATCATTTTTACTCCGGGTCGAATATTATTCATATTCGGCATGTGTAAGTCCATGCTTCTATTTCGGAATTAACTATTCTAAATTGGTTTATAGAATATATATTAGTGCTAACATGTAGTTTAACTAGGACATCACAAACATACAGTACAGAAGAATAATCACAACAAGGTATTTTGCGCCATTTTTTTTTTTAATTTTTGAATAAAAAATAAAGAACAATGTTTACCAAATAATTCGTGAGCAATCTACCTTGCTGCTGATCACTTTCGTTTATTTCTACAACACGAAGACAGTTAATGAAAGTCCACAGGGCTGTTCAGACCCCCCAACCCACTGTAATGATTAAACGCCTCATAGGTCAAGTGGAAAACTTTCCCCATAAGGTGTTTAAAAGTAGTGTATGAGGACAAGGCATTACAAGGGGCGCCACGGGTGTGAAGGTGATGTGCAGTCATGATGATGCATCCATGCCATTAGTGTAGTTTTCCATAATATATATCTTGACAAAAAAAAGATTAACCTTTTGAAAATTAATCCAAAAAGCATAAAAAAAGAAACTATTTTCATTTTTATTTTTAAAAAATAAAAAACTCTAGTATTTCCATTCGTGTAAGAATAAAAAAATAATTTGAAAATAATAATATTAAATGATGGTTAACTCATAATCAAGGATTGTTGGCAACATTGTTATCATTTCCAAACACAGGCGGTTTGGATAAAAAAACAAAAATAAAAAATTCTTTAATAATTAATATTATGGGAAAACTGGCAGCAAACAACATGGATGCAACAAACTAAGTCGGGTTCACACACTCCCGTTTATTCTAGAAAAAAATAACCCCAGGGTTTCATACACGAAGAACAGTCATCTGTTCTTTGTATCTTCGTCTTTAAACCACATCTCACATTTTTGTTTTATTTAAATAAACAACACAAACACCCCTTTCTTTAAGGGGCCGTTAAGTATATATGTCATTTTAAAAGTAAAATTTTACATACAAGACTGTCTTTCAATCTCTTATTTAAATTTACAACAATTTTCTTAAAACCAGACCAAAAATAATAGTATAGAAGTAAACAGGTGAATAGAAATTCTAAAAGTTTCCCAAAAGTATGTAGCTTAAGCCTTACAATCGGACTACGTTAGATCAAGCTTGCCAGTAAGCCAATACATTGCTCAACCTTCCCCCAAAAGTATTTTGAGTAAAGCTCTTGTGAAAGAACTAAAGAAAGAGTAAGGTATATCCAAGCTTTCACAAAAGAACTTTGATTAAAATCCCGGATAATGAAACAATAAAGACTGAGATCATAGTCATAGTGCATAATATGTTAGTTATATTGAGATGTGGTTATATAGGGGGAGGGTTTCGTATTTTAAAGGTTACAAGTTCAGGTGGAAATTTGAAGAAGGAAAATAACACACCATGCAGAATAATTTTATTTTAAGAAATTCTTTATTTACAAACAATATCATATACACAAATACTCTAAATTTCCATGCATAAGAATAAATACATGTTTTCATTTTTTTTTTTTTAAAAAAAGGTGAAAATTGCCATAAGCTCATTTAAATTAGACCGGTTTATAATATCCTAAACACCAATTCACATTTATATACACCAGATGCGTGTCAAGTGGATATTCTACCCTACTTCAATATGTGATAGCCTTAAATCTACACTCAGAAAAAAAAGTTACGAATCTAAAGAAAAAAAAAAAAAATAAAAATAAATTGGACGGTTATGTTTAATTTTTGGGTAGAAATGACCATTATAAAACAAATTGTTCAAAGAAAAAAAAATCCTGGATTTCAATCTTTTTCAAAAAAAAAATCTGACAAGCTGTTTTGGATGTTGTGAAGTGCATTTTGTATATTATAAATCGTTTAAATTTTCACACAATGTTAACCTAATAAATAAATAATCTAGACTCCTGTATCAATCTTTAATAGTTATCCACAAAACCCTGTAGAAATTTTTCAGCAAATTATGAAATGTGTGAAATTTAGTATTTCTTAATCATTTGAAAAGATAGAATTAACAGCTTCAAAGCTTTTTTTTCCTAATTGAATTTGATAAAATTGATTTCTTGATCTTCAGGGTTTTAAGGAATGTCAATCAAATAAAAAAACTACCTGTAGCACAGTAAAGGGAAATAGATAATTTGGTTTTGGACTCTATTGACATTCTTAGCAATGCTTGCGTCAGAATACTGAATGTTTAACTATGCTAAAATATTTAAACCACCTTGGTTATTGACATTCTAAGAAGTGCTTGAGTACCAATATACTGAATGTATAAAGTACACTGAATTATAACAGATTTCGAGACACTAGCAATATAATTATATAAAAACACCTTACATTTATTTAATGCCTTCCTTATTCTAGTCTTTAGAACTAATTAGCTAACTACAGCGTAGATCATATTTGTAAAAATAAAATCAATTTAATATAATGATGAAAAAGGATTACTCTAAAATAAATAACACCCCAAAATATAAATAAATAAGCCCTTTACCAATAAACATCCCCCTTAAAACTAATCTTATTCAAAATTCTAAAATTATTTCAGATTATGAGTCAAAATGACAGTGCTGCTGTGAAAAATGATTCAAGATTAAGAATGATATTAAATGAATAAAAGTCAGTATATTTCTTATTAATATCCACGAAAAGCAGTTATTTTGGCTAGATTAAATCTGGATTAAATATCTATTTCAACAACAAATATATGACAAACGATACCAAAAAAAAAAAAGAAGCTAAATTAATAAACCCAATAAATATAAATTATGTTTTTAATATTGAAAACCGTTAGTGATGTTTCTTTGTTTTGTTTTCTAAATGCAATTATTACATTTACAGTAATTATTCACGACATGAGTTATCCCCCATTGATTTCCCTTTACTGTGCTTTACTAATTAACAATTCTACTACAGTCAATTAACAAGAAAAGCCATCAAACCACAAAATGTTACAGACAGCGTCTAATTTTACTTCATCAGCGAATAACTAGACCATTCACACTACTTCATCTACATTATTGTACGCTAACGAAACGCCATAACCAAGCGGAAAAACTAAAAACGTTGCGTAAGATGGATGTGGCGACTTGTTTTAGTGAATTAATAAAAAAAAAAATAAAGACTAAAAGGAAAGAGTATTAAATACATAGAAATAATTTATATAAAAAAGTTTCAATTACTTTCAATACTTTATCCCATTTTTTTCAAATGAAAAATGGATGAACGACGTCGTGTCATGTCCGGTGGGGGTGCTGGCTGCTCTTTCATAAATGGGGCTGAAACAAGATGGCCTGAATGAAAACCCCCATAAATATTTGACGATCGCCCGCGCATAATATTATCAGACTACTATATGAAATATTAAATATTTTAAATCAAGCACTGAAATAATGAAGAATCCTAATATTAGAATGACTATCTACTAAAAGCTAAATGACCTGACAGCATTGGTTATATCCAATCCCTAACAGCTAACTAAGAAATGTTAGACGATTCATATTTCTACTCGCAAGGGTTTGTATCTGAAATAGCGCTAAAGCATATCTGAGTGCAATTTTCACTTATTACTAACCGATTTTAAAAATATTTTACACATATACAAAGATAAAAAAAAAGAGTCTTCTGTGATAGAATAGTAGTAGATCAGCAATATACATATATTTTTCAATGATATACACAGAATATATTACAGCAATTATCAGAAATTAGAATAAGCTTGAAGAGTTTTGAGGTATTTATATCCCAAGCTTGGTTCTGGCTTAAAGAAAATCACAGTTTGTTTGGTATCCCTTAAACATAGCTTTAATATAGAAGAACTCTGACTTATTTCGCCTTGACAGAATTTATATTAAACTTTTTCACCCAGTTTTTTGTCAATCAAATTTAAAAAAAAAAAAATCATCCGCAGCAAAAACATAAAGCGTCTATAAAACCCTTTCTCGTTCAGATCCCTTTTTTGACGTGTGCACTTATACATTTCATAATGTAAATTAAAACATTTGAAGTTTATTACGATCGCAGGGTATTAGTTTTGTACTCTTTTGTTTACTTCAGAGTATATACATTTGTCAAGCATTCAAAATGTTAATCTGTTTCTGTCATGTGATTTAGTAACCAAAAAAACATCTGTTTGAACAAACAAGGTTGTAATAAAACAACCTCCAACATCACTTGGGATGCAACACGCAAAAAAATAACATATACATGGCAGGTAACTTTGGTGAAAGGGGGTCACTCATGATGGAGAAAGGGTTTCATAGAAATATTTGCAGCATTTTTCTGATCAAAATATTAACATTTTGTTTTTTGTTTGTGCATTCTTCACATTCAGACGCACTGCGTAGAAAACAATCCACTCCACACACCAAGCAATGTTTGCGACTGATGACTGAAGGTTAACGAATGAAAGGCATCGAGACAACTTTAAATATCCAATGAAATGGCATGTTCCACAAGCAAGTCAGGTCAATATTGAGAATTCCAAAGATAAATTTTTTAGATTAATTATCATGTCCTCGATTCAGATAAAGAAAAAGTTGAACCCGCAAAATTGCATGGAAAACCAACTTTAAACATTCATATCATCAATGATTTGGTGAACTTAGGATGGTATTCAACATTTTAACAAAAGTTTTTATTCTGTTTCAAATTTCATTCCTTGTCATTTGGTCTTGGGTAAGTTTAAAATTGTCTCAATGAGATGCTAAAGGATTCTAATGAGAGATTTATCTGTATGAAAGGTAACTTATATACAATGTGAGGCAGATGATAAAATATGATGATATAGCCCTGTTTAATGATAATATACATTTGACCAAGGCAGTCCCAGGTTTTAACTGAGCGTTATTCTCTATCTCGGGCAGAAAAAAAAAAAGTTAATAAAATAAATAAATATTCAACAGGTGTAGACACTATATAACAAATATCTATATATATTATCTTTTATATTATAATATTTTTCATCTCAAATAAACATTCCTAATTTCATTTACCACGCTTACGCATCAACATTTGAGTTAATTTACAATTATTAATTTAAAAAAAAAAAATGAACTTTACTCTTCCCACACAAACTATTTAATAACTCACACTTGCGTTGCGTTCATCCCATGAAAAACAAAATATATTCTTTTAGTATATATAAACTAACTTTCTCGATACAGCATCTTACATTGTGTAAAAAAAAAAAAAAATTTTTTTTACTCGCAATACCTAATAAATTTTTTTTATTTTAATCGTTTCTTGGTTTTGCATATAAATTTTTAAACAAATTGCTTTACTAGTTAATTTTATTTTTTATTTCGGAAATTTTATTGATCAAATTACAAAATTTATTATGAAATCAGTATTCTTCTGTTTTTGAATTCTAAATTTGTTAAAACATTTTCACAATTTGCTAATTCATTCACTAATTCCGGAAACGATTATACGTAAATGCTGAGATAAAGTTAAACGATTAATTAAATTAAAACGTGGCACTGCCATATTAAATTTGAATCGGACTAAAGAACATGAACATCAGACTGGACAATAATACAACATGACCCCGTATAAAACCCACGATAAAACAATCCATTGACATTCGAAAATAGGATTTTTACCATCTGCAAACTTTCTTGCCACGAATTTGAGTGCTTCATCCAGTATTATAACAGGTATAGAGATCTTTAATACAGCCATCCACTCAACTAAGTTCAATGGTGTAATCTGGAAGATCACCTGGAATACACAAAAAAAATCAATGCATAAAATAAATTGTGTAATCACACTCTCGTATCAAATTTGACTGACCAGAGATCTTTTAACGCGTGCATGAATGTGTACACAGGACCTCAGATTTATCATCCGATCCAAATGACTGGATGCTGTCAAGGAAGAAACCACACTGAAATATACAAGGAAACTTTTCTTGGCTAACACTTGAATCGAACTTGGAATGGAACTGTATGAAATACTAAGCTAAATGTAAATATGTAAAAGAACTTACCGACATGACGTCGACGTAGAGGATAAGGAAATGTAGGGACATAGACAGAATAATGGCCATACATAACCATTTGTTAGTCCATGGTGGCATAGCCCACAGTGACTGATTCTCTGATAAACTGGAAAAATAAATAAAATACTCTTTATTAGTATAGTTTATATACTATTACAACATAAGATCATACAATAAAACATTATTTTCTAGAAATAAGATCAGTTTCTTCATTTTTACACAGGGAACCGAGTCCGAAATGCGGTATATCTTATTCTTGGGGTAACACTCTTCACCCCCCCCCCCACCAAAAAAAATGGGATTCATGTTGCTTGTTGATCGACTTATTGTCATAATTTCAAAATTTACAAAATGGTGGCCATGCCATCATGCTCGGCTTCTGTTACATAGTATGATATTATACTGGTTTTATATATAATTTTTGAAGAAAATACTGTGGTTCCCCATCAGGTTCGCTTTAGGAGACTATCCTCAGCTGATGTTCATCCTGACATTTGACCCTAGATTCAGATTGACGTAACTTAGAAAAGAACAAGTGGCCTCCCCAACCCTCACTCTGAAAGATTGAGGCAAGATCCATTTCATATTTGTGGAACTTCAAATCCTTCCTTACAAGAAATGATCTTATTTCCAGAAAGATATTTATATCAATTTTACTGTTCTTCATTCAAATATTACTGTACAAGAGGCAATCCAACGAAAATCTAAACTTAACTATATAAAAAGCAATAATGGCATGTGATTAGAAACAGATTTTTGGAATAGGATATGGCTCGAGTTTTGGTGAACGTACAGAAGACTAAAAGTAAGACCGAGTCCTGGTGGGAAACAGGGGAGGTGCCACAATATTTATTTATTTTTTTACGATTTAATTATAAGATGTTTAAAATATTGTGTCACCTCCCTCCAGACATGATCAACATTCTGAATTACGGCATTATACATAACAATATTTTATTTTAGATTTTCGTCAAATTGCTCTCCAAATCAAGAAAGTAATTTTCATGAATAACACAAATTATCTATTAGTTTTTGGAAGACTAAGTTTAAATTATTATCGATGAATTGACAAATATAGAAAAGTTATGTTATTCATAGAAATTAGCCTTATAAAAAATATTTATCTTAAATTCATTTGTCCATATTAATTTGTTAATTTTTCAATGTGCAACAAATAAGGATCATATATACTGTCAGGAATTTTTTTTCCCCTCATATTGTGACGAAATAACAATTTTAAAGTACTGTCCCTCCTTCAATAAAATTTCTCTGAATCAACAGATGCAATCCTTGCACCAGACATGTTTATTAACTCTTTTTAAAACACCAGAGTTCATATAACTAACAAAATGTTACACTCCGACAACAAAACCAAGCTTAGGCATGAGTCTGAGGGGCCAGGTCCAGGACCGCGCAGTTCATGGCAAAGAGAAAAAATTCAAATTCCAAATGAAAGTTTCATGGTAATCAATCTAGTGGAGCAAGGACGGACACTGAGCTATCCCTCAACCTTCTCTGTGAAGTTCCACTAGGTGATCAGTCTAGGCTTCTAGCGGCGCGATGGGCGGAGACTGGGTGAGTCTGCAATCCGTCAACCTTCTGTTATTGGTCAAAACCTATTCAAAAGGATATGAAATAATCTTTTCGTCGTGTTAGGGGCCCCACGATTTTAGTCAGACCCACGACCCCGCTCCAGTTAAGCTGGGCTTTGTCCGACAACTTCCGTCAAACCTTAACAATGTGACATGTTGAAAAATTAACAATATGAACAATTATTGAGGTGATTTGAATGGTGGTCTTTTATTTCATTAATACAGAATTAGTGCACTGAAAGAAGTGTCCGTCATGGTTTTGAAAAAGCCCTTAATACTATTTAGAAAGTAACCAATATTGTATAACATGATTGTGTGACCCCACCGAATAAACACTCCCTATATACCATTTCCCATACAAATGAAACAGGGTTTGACGCTGGCCATGTAGTGTGCTGGGCGATCCATCCTGCACCACTCATATTGTGTGAAAAGGCCCTATTTAGTAAACAACCTATATTGTATAACTTGACGGTTGGGACCGGGTACCACACCCAATAAACACTCCTTACATACCATTTCCCAGACACTCTAGACCACTAGGCCATAGGGTCTGGACATATGCCATGTAGTGTGCTGGGCCATCCATCTTGCATCACTAATATTGTGTAAAAGGGGGAAACCAGACTGAAAATCTCTGTGAAACTCAGTCCAAGCAACACTTGAAACAGGGATATCTTGGTTAGTGATCAAGAAATGAAATAGGAATTAATGTCCTACTGTTCTGCTCCAACTGGGCTAATGAAGACGAGCATATGCCATATTTTGCCCGGACAGTGGCACATTGGCCTACTTTTATATCGAATTCCAACTGCCAAGGGATCTTTAACGTGCACTCCAATGTGTACACAGGATCTTGGTTTGTCGTCCCATCCGAACAACTAGAAAGCTGTCCTTGTCAGGTCCTCCGTACTGCACCACTAAAAGGTTAGTGATCCGGAGTCACTCAAAAAGCTACCTTGGTTCCCCCCCCCACCATTAAACTCATTTTGGGGGTCTTGTTTATTGACCGACAGATTTCTGTCCAAAAGAAAACCTCCCTATTTTACTTAAAACTTTATTTTAATACATGACAGTCACTTCTTTCCTAGCTTGCATAGCTAACTAAAGCTGTATGGTGTGAGATAAATATACCATGCTAATTTAAAGGGTTTCTAAATACATTTCACTAGTTATATGTAACAATAAAAAAAATCCTCAAAACTGTTTTACTTTTAGATTGAGCTTTCAATAAAGATAGAAATCCTCTTGCTACCTAAAATTACCAAGCACATTGATTGAATCACTGCTTTTTTTTGCTTTTTTTTTTTCCAAGGAATAGATTTTCTTTTCAATTAGAAATCGAGTTAGCTGATACTTTGTTGGCTGTCTAATGCCTGTTCTATTCTAATAGATTCTCTTTTTAATTAGAAATCGAGATAGCAGATACTTTGTTGGCTGTCTAATGCCTGTCTAATAGATTCTCTTTTTAATTAGAAATCGAGATAGATACTTCGTTGGTGATGTAATGTCTATTCTATTAAAAACTCAATCAAAAACTATTAATTAAAACAAACTAAGGTAATATTTTGTTTCTAAAACAACAAAGCAATATAAAAAACCAAAATATATTAGATTCTTGTTGATCAAGACTAAAGGATCAATTGTCCAGGTTTTCAATGTGAATCTGCTTATGAATTAATTATCTAATAAACATGAAAAGTTTCGATTCAAAAAGATGATCAACAAGATCTAATGTACTTTAAAAAAACAAAAACACACAATAATTACATTAATTTGAACATGTGAATTCTACCCTTTCAATTTTTGGATTCCATAAAGATGGCTGCATAGTGTACATCAAATATACAGCCTGCAACATTAGGGGGTTGGGGAGGAGAAGGGGGATGGGGTAACAATAACTTACCCATATTCTGTTCACCAACAGACTACACCCCCTAAACATGGAGCATTCCCAGCGATTTATGACTGATGCACAATGTTTCCCACTAATATGATTATTCAGTACGTTATACTGAATAAATTAAAGCACTTCGCTTTAATTGGAATTTAAGAAAATAGAAAATATTTGTATCTTTTTTCCACATGGGATTTGTCACACTCATTGTGCTTTGATAGGTTCCTAGGGACATTTTATGCTGGCGAGGGCCAATAGGTATAATTGTTTGGTACTGGATGAAAGAGTAGAACATTTGATGAGTATGTTTCAGCAATACTATCCAATTGTTTTTCATTCATTCCGCACTGATGTTAAGACTCTGATGTCCAGCACTATCTCTTTCCAGCTTCCAACAAATTAGTTTATTAATATTAGTTGATTGGGTAATGGTAGGGCAAGGTTATTAATCCTAACATGAAGATGAAAACAAATTCTTTTAGTGGCCTTTATCGATTGACACAAGTAATAAACACAAAACATTATATGGAACACAATTACTGTTTTCATTTATAAGTGATGTTTCGTTCAGGGTTGCTCGATAATGTTGAGTGAAACCTCAATGAAACATCATTTTAATTTCAGACAGTAGTTGTGTTCTATATGTTTTTGTGTTTATTATAAATTATATTTTTAATTTTCGTCCTTAAAAGATACTGTGAGTGTATTCAAATTTAATATTGATCGCATTACTACATATCTAAGATAAGTCGAACCTATTTCTTAAAATTTATATTCTTTTTTATAAAATAGTTTGAGGATATTCATCACAACACAATTTTAATATTGATCGCCTACATATCTAAGATGAGAAGTTGAAACTATTTTTTTTAATTTATATTTTTATAAAATAGTTTTGAGGTATTCATCACAATATTGATCTAAAATGAGGAGTCACAAACTTTTTTACAAATTATTTTTGCAAGTAACTGTGAGGGGAATCATTTTGATTCAAATTTAAATTTAATGTTTATAACTTAATTAGCCTCAACTTATCCCAGCCTCGGTGGCTCAGTGAGTAAGATATTGGCTTGTTAATCTGGAGCTTTAGCCGAGAAAGTTCATGAGGTCCTCCTTTGTCATTGGTTCAGGACAGAGTAGGCAATGGAGCTTTAGCCTAGAAAGGTCATGAGGTCCTCCTTTGTCATTGGTTCAGGACAGAGTAGGCAATAGCACCACTGTCCGGTCAAAATGTTCCTCATTGCACACTGTATGGCGTATGTCCACCTTCATTAGCCCAATCAAAGCAGAATAGGATGTTAAACCCCATTTTATTGCGTTTCCTTTCATTTAGCCTCAACATATCCAAATGAATGGGGAGGAGGGGGGGGGGGTACACGACCATGTACATCATGTACACGACCACAAATTTTCTTTCAAGTTTTTCTGTCTTTTATCATGTTATTGTAATACGGAACAAAAATTAAACTAGTCCCCACTGTAATAATGTCAACAGATTGTATACATTTGAAATGAATTTGTGTTTTAAAAGTAAAGATTCCAAATGATCATCTTATTAGCATTTATTTTTATGAAAATGAAATGGGTTTATCGTCCTACTGTTCTGCTCCAACTGGGCTAATGAAGACGGGCAGTCGGGCATACGCAATTCAGTGTGTTATGTGGGAAATTTTGATTAGACAACGGTGTTATGGCCTACTCTTCTATCGAATTCCAACTGCCAAGGGATCTTTTATGTGCACACCAATGTGTACATGGGACCTAGTTTTTCATCCCATTCGAACAATTATATGTTGTCCCTTGCCACTAGTAAAATTAATGCAACGTCAGCTAGTTTACAAAGACAAAAATTTAACTATCAACATCTTAAATTAAATATATTGCCTGCAAATTTTCTTTCAATTTAATACAATGCTATTATTTTTGAGTATCACTTTAAAATGAAAATAAAGTGTAATTTTTGGGGGAGGTTCACTTTACCATGAAGTCTTAATTTCTTTGGGAGGTTCACATAATATTACAATAATGGCCTACTACAACGTAATACATTGGTAATCTAAGATTCTCTCAAAAGCATAATCACATTGAATCTAAGAAAAGCAATCTAACACTTAATATATTTTTTTTACGTAAAATATTTAAATTGGAGTGTAAGGTGTACAAAGAAAAAATTGTGTGATACAAAAAGCACAATATTAGGATTAAATTATTAGTGTTCAACATTTAAAAAAACAATTAGTTTTTTTATTAACAATATCTGTGTTAAATTTTGTTTTTAAAACATTAGGTGTGTTGGAGCTGGAAAATTGAGACATCAGATATGGCTGGACAAAAGAAGCTATAAAACTAGGTAAGGGAGCCAACTAGCAGGCTACAAAAGCATGCAGGAAGTCGGTTACCGTTCTTCAACAATCTGTACCACAAAAGGGGGGTGATTTCTTTTTTCATTCGCCACTTTTTACCGACAGGCTGGACGACACATTGGTTTTAGCCTCTGGAAAAATTGAGGCGGATCGGTAGGAAATTTCCATTAAATTGTTACAAATAGTAACAATTTTTAAAAGAAATTATAAATTTACAAAAATACTTGTCGAAATAGGTAAAATTTTCTGAAATTTTAATTTCTAAAAAGTTTGACCAATAAGGTAAAACTTTACTTTGACAAATTACAAAAAATAAACATGGCTAAATTACTGCCATGGATCCGACGTTTTAGTGTCGATCCGAGTCCAGTTTTTAGATTGAAATAATTAAGTATTAAAATATTCACCACCCTTGTGTCGTACACGTGTTGCTCTGTTATTCATGCAATCAGAGAGCCAGTAACTTGACGAACACAGATGAACACTTGCCTTTAGCAATAAAAAACACCACCCCTTCTAGTGATTTCAATGATTTGTTGTAAATAACACGGCAAGCAAACTTCCTGACACACCAAGCCTTTCTTTACATTTCATTGGCTGCCTTACCTGTTGAGGGCATTTAACATCTCTACGACGACGAGCACTGACAAGGCCATCGTCATGGGTTTTGGGTGGCGGAAGACACTGCAATCAATGCCTTCAAACATCTCATCCTGTGCCAGGCACTGAGCTTGATGGGTCTGTGAAATGCAACTAGTTAGCAACATGTTCAAATCAACAGAATAAAAAAAACCTGGACAACAGAGCCTTCAGGCTTCTGCGCCTTCAATAAAAAGAAACATGCAGCGCGGCAGATGTAGTAAAGACTCAATGTTCTGGACAGAGAGAAAAGATGGTTGCTCAATTGACGAAAATATATCTCATAAAATCTACATTGACATTTAAATTTCAAGAATAAGTGAGCTTCAAAATGAAGAATTTTTGTTTCCTAGCAACACCCCTTTTCTTGACTTTCCATAACAAAGAGTGGTTACTCTATCCTAAAGGGAGCGGCAATTTCACGCATGGCAGCATTTTGCGCAGCACGCAGGGAGCTGTAAAAATTACCTGTTACATGCATTAAGCATTTCAATAGTAACTAAAACTGATAAGGCCATTGTCATTGGATGTGGTTCAGAGAAAACTGAACAATCCACGCCCTTAAACATCCTGGGTTCAGCTGGACACTGCATGTGATGAGTCTGTTTGGGTTGAAAGGTTAGAGGTCATGACATCATATATTTAATATTACTTTCAATAAAATATTTGATTTACTAAATCATTTAAGTTTAAATCTGATTTCATTTCATCATATGTTTAATTTTCACATTTTTTTTTTTTTTTTTTTTTTAAATTAATAAATTATTCAAGTAAAAATAGGAAAAGATTTCAAGGATGTATTTGGTTATTTCCAAGTAAAACCTTAACCGGTTTCTTACCAACTGGTAGTAGTTAAGTCGTGGGCCGTGTTCATAGATCATGAACCACCAGGCAGCAGAACCAACAGTAGCACATCCGACGTATACTGGAATAGAAAAATATTATCTTGAGTTGATTTTGGTATGGAACTTTTTTCGAATATGTAGTCTCCAAATTCCAGACTATCCTCAAGTGGAAATTCCAGACTATCCTCAAATGGAGAGAGAGAAATCGGGTTTAATGTCCACTAGACACAAATTAGGTCATTTCGGGAGTAACACATGGTTCAATTTTATTTCAATAATTTGCTTGCGCGTAGGGATCTTTAGCAGTGGGAGGAAACTGGAGGACCCGGAGAAAACCCACAAGGTTGGACATGCGACCCTACTCCTTGTCATATACAACCTTGGAATCGAAACCCCGTCAGTTGACTCAATGACAGACCGTATGATACATCGCACACATGCTAACCATTCGGCCATCCAACCCGCCTCCTCAAGTGGAAATTCCAGATTTTCCTCATGTGTCTGGATAGAAATGTCTACATACAAGACTTCCTTACTCATACTACTAAAAGAAATTCCTTAAATGAACCAGGGTTTGAAGTCCTACATTTATGCACCAACCGGGATAATGAGGAAGTAATTCCTTAAATAAGCTAAGCAACGGCAATACTATATACCGGAAAACACCCGGAAAACACAATTTTATACTGAATACCGGAAAAACACTAAATACTGGAAAACACACTATATACCGGAAAATACCCTAAATAGGTAACCCGGAGACTGGCACCCTAAATAAGTAACCCTGGGTTAGGGTTAGTTTCCGGTTTATAGTATAGCCCTTCTCCGGGTTACCTATTTAGGGTGTTTTCCGGTATTTAGTGTTTTTCCGGTGTTTTCAGGTATTCAGTGTAACATGGTGTTTTCCGGTAGTTTTCCGGTATATCGTATAGCCTCTTAGCAAGTGTTCCAGAACACTCGAGCTCTTTGGTTATTGCCCCTATCTTCTAGCATTTATACCCACTTGTATCAACAAGGACCGTGTGAAATTAGGGAGGGCTCCTTTAAATAAATGTACTTACTTCCAATAGCCATATATCTGAAGAACAACCATCCTGTAATAAGACCTTCTTTGGGATTTCGTGGTGGTTTTTTCATGATGTCCAGATCTGGGGGATTGAAACCAAGGGCAGTGGCAGGGAAACCATCAGTTACCAAGTTAACCCACAACAATTGTACAGGAATCAAAGCTTCTGGGATACCAAGAGCAGCAGTCAAGAAAATACTGGAATAAGAAAAGCAGACGATTTAAATAACAAGTCACAATAGTAAGACATGCTGATATACTCCTAACTGGATCAACATGGAGTTTAGGCCAATGAAATCATCAGTTAGATAAACATGACTTGTGAAATTAGGGCCAACCCCACTTATTAAATATGAAAGAGGAGGAGGAGGGTGGGCTCACTCCCACAGAACATTTACGCCTATGTACAGAACCTCTGTGTTAATTATCCACAAGGTTTATTGTTAGGGCAGACAAGTTTGGATCTTGTATAAATCTGCATTTTATAGCACAAAATATAGTTCATTCGATTTTGCACCACTATCACATTCAATCATACCTCGACAGCCATAATATATTTCAAAAATTCCAAAATATCATACAGGGAAAAAGATTACTGCCTGTCTTTCCCCCAGTCAGCTCTTCCATGGATTCCAACTATTCAAAATCTAAAGAGACTATTTTAACTTACCAGACTACTTCACCAATATTGGATGAAATAAGATAACGAATAAATTGTTTCATGTTACTGTAAATAGCACGTCCTTCCTCTACAGCAGCTACGATAGTCGAGAAGTTATCATCAGCTAAAATCATCTGTACGATGTGTTAAGGACAAATATATCTATAGGGCACAGTCACGCCAATGAAATGAGGTTTAATGTCTTACTGCTAAGTTACTGGATTTATCGGCGTACTCTTCTCCACCTACCAGAGTAATGAGGACTAATGAAGACGGGTATGCACGATCCAGTGTGCTATGAGGGAAAGAGAGAGAGAAATTGGGTTTAATGTCCACTCGACACAAACTAGGTCATTTTGGGATCAACACATGATTCAATTGTATTTAAAAAATTCGATAGCATGTAGGTTTCTGTAGCAGTGGGTTGAAACCGGAGGACACTGGGAAAACATACAAAGGTTGGACAGGCGACCCTATTCCTTGTCACATACAACCGGGGATTTGAAACCACACCAGTAGACTCAATGACAGACCTTAGATACAGTCTGCACATGCTAACTATTTGGCCATCCAACCCCCAATAACACATCAGAGCTACGCAATTAACATGACCTAAATTAAAGCGGTTCAGTTCTGTTGTATATTTTAAAAAGGATATCAGCAGCAGATTTGGCTACAGCAGTACCGGAACCCATAGCAATACCAATTTCAGCTTTCTTCAAGGCAGGGGCATCATTGACACCATCACCAGTCTGTAATATAAAACACATTTTTTTAAATTACAAAATAAGTCTTGATTCTTTGACCAATTTGAAATATCTATAACATCAAAGACGGTTCTCGTTTCAATAGTTAAAAAATAGATAATGAAAAGAGAATATGCTGTAAATTTCAGCCAAATGGCTTTATTCTGAACCTAGATTTTGGCGATTCAATTTAAGACTGGCCTTGATGGTCTTTACTACCGTTGTTATGATAAACAAAGTCTTGATTATCCATTTTTACGTTATTTTTATCTATCACAAAACGTGTTCAAATCCACTCGATAGCATCAAGAGCTGATTATGGTCTTGTCATGAAAATAAATATTTAATTAATAGTTTATGTAACATTTCAGGCCTAAAGAAAGAATTTCAATAGGCAGATTTAATTTTGCATAATGTATGTTTTAATAATGTCCACTTACCATAGCAGAGATTTCACCTTCTCCTTGTAAATATTCAACAATCTTAGATTTATGTGTTGGCTCTACACGGGCGAATAATCGGGCACGCATACAAGCAGCTCTTTGTTCTTCTGGAGCAAGTTCATCAAATTCACGACCAGTGTAGGCTAAACCATCAGTAGATTCATTTTCACCGAATACACCAATACGACGACAGATAGCTTCAGCTGTGGCCTACATTCAAATAATATAAATTAATAGAATTTAATTGAAATAATAACAGCGGCTGCCAGGTCATTTTGGGACCAACATATGGTTCAATTTTATCTCGATAATTCGCTTGCGCGTAGGGATCTTTAACAGTGGGAGTAAACTGGAGATCCTGGAAAAAACCCACGAGGGGAATCGAAACCAAGCCAGATAATAATGTGCATATATATAATGCGCTATATCCACAAACTAAGTTTATGCTCAAAGCGCGAAACAATTACTATCCCGGTCTCTAGGATACAGGTAAAGCCTGATTACCTCCCTTTACCCCTGAACTCTTTTTAAATGTTAGAAAGAGCCCCAACATATGCTGCTTCAAGGAGCGCAACAGTTTTTCGTGTAATACATACACCATCCTACCGGTACCCATTTACAGCTGGGTAGACTGGAATACAGGGATGAAGTGTCTTATTCAAGGACACAATTCGACGCACAATTCGGGTCTCGAACCTGCAACCGTTAGGTCGCAAATCCTACTCGCTAACCGTTGCGCCAAGTCCCTCAATGATAGACCTCATATCTGTGCTAACCATATCTTGGAGGTGCCATAACTGTGTACATGACTGTTGGTTTCAGTACTCTCAGGAGCACAAGTTTTGGGAGGGTTAAACTGATCAAAATTACTGGCTACTATGATAAAAACAGGTTAGAAAATAAAATTACTTGACACTGATGGTGGCCTATAAAAATATAATTTGTAATGTTATGGCAACTGTTAATGCGATTGCTGTTACTATAACAACTGAACACGAGAGAAGTAACTATGGTAACTCACCTTGTTATCACCAGTAATGACAATGACACGGATACCAGCAATAGCACATTGTACAATGGATGCCTTGACTTCTTCACGAGGTGGATCCAACATACCAACACATCCAACAAATGTCATGTTTGTCTGAAAATAAATTGTATATAATGATCCTCAATTCAAAGTTTAAAAACATTAATTGTACGTCAATATCTTCGATTCAAAGTTTAAAATATATCAATTGTACATTAATATCTTCTCTTCAATTCAAAGTTGGAAATCAACGGGAATTAGATTAGATATCATACTATGTCCAACCATCTGCATCCGTTTGAACTATGGTAGGGACAAGCCAAACCATACGAAAGAGCACTGTTGAGCTATTTCCAAGATGGAGGACAAGATTGGAATCATCCCCCTCACAAAAAGATTCAGCATAGCACAAAACTTTTGAAAGAGTGATTAAGAATTTATCCATGCTACCAATTAACTCAGATGGAGTCGACTGATTGATATGGGTGCCACCATATTAAATAGACTGTGGTCTGGATCATTTGCTGTTTGGGTGCTATTAGGCTACCCATGGGGATAACTGGAGATACAGTTCTTACATAACATTTATACCGTACCTTGATTAATGTACTATCCAAATGACTAAACCTACCTCATACTGAATGAATTTTCTAGAGTCTTCTAAATCCATTTCATCTAATCTGGGTGGAGCATCAATAGTAGCAAGAGCTAAACAACGGAGAGTATCTCGTCCAGTACCGTAGATCTTCACTTGTTTAATAATCTCAGCCTTGATAGCAGGTGACATGGGTACCTTGTTGTTTCCAATACGAACATGAGTACAACGATCCAACATACCTTCAGGAGCACCCTAAAATACATCAATATAAATTAAATTAGGGTAAAATATTCCATAATATTTATCTAGAGAGAGAAATTGGGTTTAACGACCACTCGACACAAACTAGATCATTTCTGGACAAACATATGGTTCAATTTTATTTCAATAATTCGCTTTCACGTAGGGGTCTTTAACAGTGGAAGGAAACTTCGACAATAGATCTTTGCCCTGAATGATCGCCATATCAAATAATATATTGTTTTGTAATGCGGTTCTATATTCATATCTGCCATAAACACAAAGACTAAATAAACCTTTTCAATTTTATTAAATAGAATGGAAGCTAAATAAATACTTCTCAAAATTCTCAAAGTATACTTTGTGTTTTCAACTATAACCGTTGAATTAGTTTAGCTTAGTGTCTGTAGACAGATAGCATAAGTTTAGTATTAGATTGTGACATAACCAAACATTGAAGCCTTGGTGATTGGTCTAGATAGTATATTTAATTGGTGTTTGCCTTCTCCTCTAAAACCTTGTGGTTACCCTTATTGATAGCTTGACAGAAACATTGCTTCACGATTTTGAAAACTTGTTCAACAAAGTTCCTTGTTTCTTACCTTACAGAACATACGAGCTCCATTAGCAATTCTTGTTGGCTTGTTGGGAGTGGCGAAAACACTCATGGATTTACGATCTCGGGAGAATTCAAGGGTGACATCTTTTTTCCACATTTCGTTGATAACTTGATTACAGCAGGTACAGTTTTCACGTTTTGTGAGACCAGTTCTGTCCGTCTGGTAGACGTTCATCTTCTCACATAATACTGTTAAAGCTGTCTCCGTAGCCTCACCTACTTTCTCATAAATATCTTTCGACTGAAAAAAAATACACAAAATGTAAATAATGACCACCTTATCAATATATTTTAGACTTGGCCTTGAATATCCATTTTATGGGTAAATTTAAAATCTTGTGGGTGTTTTAATCCATTCAGCCACCCGATGGACCAGAGATTTGATTATAGGCTTGTCATGTGAATAAATGTCTAAATGATAGACACTTAAACAAAATAAAGACCTGTAATAGGAAGATTTAGCTCTTACATAAGACATCTTTAATGATCACTGTGCAATATTTGCAGCATACACCAAATCAAATTAAACCCAAATTAATGATTCATCATTTAATCGAGAAAACAAAATCAATATATCAACGGTTGATCAAGTTTTCTATTTTTACACACTATATTACAGCACATCGTTCACTCTGATGTCATTTTCTACAGTTGGGAGAATGATCAACACCTGTACAGGTGACTGATGAAAATAAAATAGGGTTTAACATCCTACTTTTCTGCACCAACTGGGCTAATTAAGATGCATGTACGTCATCCAGTGTGCTATGAGGGGCAGCCTGGACAGCATGAGAGTCTACTCTGATTTCCAATTCCAAATGTGAAGGGTTCTTTTATATTCATTCTAAAACTTCAGTCTTTCGTCCCATCCGAAGGATTAGACACTATCCTTGCCAGTCCCATGTGACTGATGGAACCCACAGCTTCCCACTTGCAAACAGAAAAACTAGCTCTATATAAAGCCACAATAAAAACTTACGTCGTTGAAATCAACACTAGAATCGTTACACATGGCACAGATGACAGCCATTTCTTCTAGACCTGGGAAATCGGCACACTTAATCTTACGGCTCTTGTAGAATCTAAAGTATTACAGAAATATAATATATAAATGAAATGAAATGTGATTTAACGTCCTAATCCTGCTGGGCTAATGACGTAAGCTGTTAGGGGGAACTGTGCCCAGACAGCAGCGCTACAGCCTATTCTTATTTCTAATTCCTACTGTTCTTTTACACGCATGCCAACGTGTTCACTCTACCTCATTTTTCCAACACATCCGAACGACTATACGTTGTCCCTTACCAGACCCTTCGTCCTAAACCACTGATAAGGGGAACCACGGGGGAAAATTCCTGATGAACAGGACCTGCAGGTTAGCGAGCAAACATCCTACTCACTGAGCCACCGTTCACTAATGAACCAATACATGAGATTCTAAACTTTATGCCAGACATGGAATTATAAATACAATAAAGTTTAGGGGAAAAAGAGACAGAGAGAAATGGGGTTTAACATCCATTTCACACAAACAAAATCATTTTGGGACTAAGACACGGTTCAAGTTTATTTCAATAATTCACTTGCTTGTACTGGTCTATAGTAGTGGGATGAGATTGGACAGGCGATCCTACTCCTTGTCATGTACAAGTTGGTAATCGAAACCATGCCACTTGACTCAATGACAGACCTTATGATTCAACATACACACGATAACCATTTGCCCACTAAAGTTTATGAATATGTGGGAATGTTTCTATTTAATATTATAGTAAAACTTACATTTCTCCTTCTGGGGCGTAGGTTGATCCAGTAATTTCAAACTGACTTGTTTCAATCATATTACCTTCAATTTTACTGAACAAAAACATCTACAACATCAAAATAAAAACACACTTAATTTATACTAGTGCCTGTCTGGTCAATATGAACATATGGTTCAATTTTATTTCAACTAATTCGCTTTTGCGTAGAGGTCTTTACCCGTAGGAGGAAACCCACGAGTTTGGACAGACGACCCTACTCCTTGTCACGTACAACCAGGGATTCGAAACCATGTCAGCTGACTCAATGACAGACCTTAAGATGTAACGCACACTAGCTAACCATTCGGCCATCCATCCTCCACCCAAATAAATGGTATAAAGCAGCTCTGATAGTTATTTGTATTTTTCGGTCATTATCTCAAATGCTAAATGTGTTTGAATGATTTATGGACTGATATATCTGACAATTTTTAATAACTGATTGCCTTGGCTAGATTTCGGAGATCGTCATTTATTGTTTCTTATATTAGCTTTTGATTGGCTGCTTACCTTGCATACTGACATCTGATTGGTTGTCAGAGTACCAGTTTTATCTGAACAGATAACAGAGGTACAACCAAGAGTTTCGACGGAGGGCAAACTTCTTACGATGGCGTTCTTCTTGGCCATTCTTCTGGTACCTATTAACACAAAGTATTGAGATTAGAAATATGTTATAACATTATTTCTTTAAACAATTCACACATTTCAGATTTTGTTTTTTTTTATTTTTGAACAGTTTAACATCTCAGTTTGGAAACCAAACATGAAAGAATAGACCGTCGAAAATATTAAATTCTTTCCATTAAAGTAACGATGCGCCATTGGCATTTCTCTCCTAAATATCAGATTTCTTACAGCCTAATCCATGCCAATATGTACTCAGATTAAATATTTAGCATTTAATTAAGACAAAATAAAAATACCAACGCTAGATAATGTCCTGGTTTGGAATCAGTCGGATTTAAAACATGCCTATCAGTAAATTTTTCATGGATAACAAAATGGCAGAGGGCTTGTCGCATAGCAAGCAGCATAAATCAAGCAATTCAGTTCCATATCTTTGTAAAAACTGAACTGTTATTGGACTGATATTCCTATAAGAGATTCATCTTTGACAATATTGTAGTTTGTAAGTGACACCTATTGCTTAAAATAGCACATCAGAACTTCAAGTACAAATGAAAAGCTTTAAAACCTATTAGTACATATAGTGGATTTGGCACTATATAAATGGACATATTATTATTAAAACCTTACCTAGAGCAAGACAGGTGGTGATGACAGCTGGTAAACCTTCAGGAATGGCAGCTACAGCAAGGGCAACAGCAATTTTAAAATAATAGATGGCACCCTGTCAAACAAAATAACCATATTAAATCAACAGGTAAAAAAGGTAAAAAAAAAAACCATGCAACCCAAAATGTTGTAATCTTAATCATACAACAATGGGATTAACAAGGATGGTTTTCATACATTACAAATTTTGTTCAGAGATTCAAGACGTCGATAATACAGCTCTGAAAATCTTCTATGTACATTCGGATTAACAAGAATAGTCTTCATGCGTTACAAGTTTTGTTTGATAATATAGTTCTGAACATTTCCTTTGTATGATACAGGAATTGAAGTTAGAAATGTTTACGATAAAAAAAACAACAATACATACCCTCATCCAGGAGCCACCATGGGCAGGATCGTTAAAGTGACCAATATTGATGGCCCAGACAGCAACACAGATAACAGTGATGACCTGAAAAATACATCAAACAAATATAAATACAGGTATGTTCAAATAGTATTGAAAAGTATGAAAAATTTGATTATCCAGACTATTTTCACGAATCTGAATACATTAATGAACCTTTAGCAACACCAAATGTACGAATTTTTATGCAAGACAGTCTGGAGTTTTTAATGTCCAAAGTTCATGACAGACCATGTGTTTTATTGCAGTTTACAATGTCCCCCCATGTAATTAATTTGTTGGAGCAGTTTTTGATAATTTGAATTTTTCTAAAAATGCTGTAGAAATTTATTATGTATTGATTAATTTCATATACCTTAGACACCTGTTCAAATTCATCAAGTTTTCTTGGTAATTAGAATTTTTGTGAAAGCCCAGTGTAAAATTTTATTATAATCTGTATTAATCGATTCTGGTCAAGCAGTAATTAATAATTGTTAATTTGATACCACATATGTGGGAATGGATCGCAGCGACGAAGAGTGATGGGCAACCATACACACTATATAGATTAATCGATTCAGAAATGAAATGGGGTTTTAGCATCCTACTGTTCTGCTCCGATCTGGGCTAATGAAGACGGGCATGCGAGGGGAATTTTGCCAGGAGAGTGGCACTATGGCCTACTCTTATTATGAATTCCATCTGTCAAGAAATCTTTTACATGCACGCCAATGTGTACACAGAACCTCGGTTTTTCGTCTCATCCGAACGACCAGACAGCTGTCCTTGTCAGGCCCTCAATCCTGAAGCACAGACAAGGGGGAACCATGCCAGAAAATCTGGATGAACTTTCTCGGCCTATGCAGGGATCGAACACCCAACCTCCAGGCTAGCAAGCCAGCGTCTTACCCCACTTAGCCACCGTGACCCCCCGATTAAGATCAAGCAGGGCCATATATTATAAATCTATTAATATAACATACCTTAGACAACTGTTCACCAAATTCATCAAGTTTTTGTTGAAGTGGAGTTTTCTCGGTTTCAGTGTCCATCATCTCATTACGAATCTTACCTGAAACATGAAAACAATTTAATTAAAATATTGGTTTTTATTTCACAAGATACATCATAGATTAAACCACATGATTACAATATTATCATTCACAACTGTTTTGTATATGATGGCCTCTGTAAGAACTTTCCAGCTATATAAAATCTCCTCCATACATGAAGTAAAGGATGCAATATACATTCCAGTCAAAAACAGTTTGTGATAATCGACGGACCAAAAACCATTGGCTACTTTCAATTTGTTTATGATGCAATGTTTTATTTTTTTTTCATGGAAATATGATTTTTTTTTTTTTGGCTCTTACCGCAATATTGGGTGTGGGGCCCATATACAACAATTTGAAAAACTTATATAAAGGGTACAACAACAATGCCCATTTCTTACTTTTTCTTTTATTTTAAAGTTATTCGTTTTCATAATAAGGATAGAATTTAAGATCTGTTTAAAATGAGTTACATGCTAGGTACATGTACAATAAAAGTCCTATAATTCTTTTAGAATAAAACAGGCCAAATATATGAAGAAAGTTATATGATAGTGGAAGGAAGTGTCTAGTTAGATTGGATATATTATAACCACTGTTGCTAGTAGAATAATTCCATATTAAAAACAGTTTTGTTTTAGATAACTTGCAATGGATGCTAGAGATTGAATATCCATTCTCTTACCAGAACAACAATATTATACTATACTGAAGTCCAAAAGAAAGTATACACACTAAAAATATGACTAAGTTTTGTTAAATCAAAAAAATGTGATAAAACTACACTGAACACGTCTCGTGCGTCCAAACTCAACATTTCTAAGCAAATAAATGGCAAAACAAATGGACATTGTACCCAAATACCGCATACAATGGAAAAACGACTTTGTTTGAAACAGGACGAAATGAACAGTGTATACTTTCTTTTGGACTTCAGTTTAGAATAATACTAAAAACAAGGAGTTGTGTACTGAAATGTTTTTGAGTTGCATTTCTGGTTTGTATAATATTAAATCATATTTATATGTAACCTCCCTCAAAGATAGTAAAAGCTCAGAGTATACATGTAGTAGCAAAAGGGACTACCTACCCTGACCCTCACCCTCACCCTAAAAATCTATACGTGCCAACTTCCAAAAACATGCTCGAGATTAAATAGGCTGACAAAACTCAAATCTTAAAAAAGATCCTGGCTTCATTATTGCTCAATTCCATACTGCTCATTAATTTTTTTATTTTTGTTTTGGTGCTATTTTAGATTAAAGATACATCATGTAAGATTTAGATAAAGAGCTAGCCATTCTTGCTATAATAGCTCAAAAATAGATAATCTAAAATGAAAATATTGAAAATTAAATACTGAGCAAAGTTATCACTGTTTGTAGTTTTGACAAGATGTGTGCATAGTGGTAACCAGAGCACTGGTATATTTGAGACTTAGCCTCGCCTTCCCATTTTTAAATTAAATTATTAAATGGCGAACGGTTCTAATCTCTTTAAAATCTCGAGCATCCGATGCCATCGGGAATTTATTATGGTCTTCTTGTGTTAATAAATGTCTAATTAATAATTTAGGCCTAAAGAAAGACTTGGAATAGGCAGATTTAGCTCTTGCATAATGTATGTTTAATGTAATATCAAGGTAAGAATCCACACAGTTTCTACTTGTGTTACATCTAGTACAATGACTGTATGACATTATACCTCATCTATTTTTAAACTGACAATATAAGAACCATCCCCAGCTTTGTAACTGATATCTAAGAATAAAATAAGTTTGTATATAATGTGGGCAACTTCTTCTTTAACAGTCTATTTTGACATCCCATTCTACCTTGATTATTGTGTTTTTTACGGAGAGGATTCTATCATGGTTTCTTTACTAGTATAAACATGATTTAGAAATCCGAGCCGTTAGACAGCTGTTTGTGGAGACTTGTACAGATATTAAAAAAACATTTCCTAGAGTGATAGACCAAGTACATAGGGCGATGTTTTGTACATAATATACTAGTTCAGTTATCTGGCAAGTATAAATATAGATAATTAAATAAATAGACCTAGTGTTTGAGTAGTCTCCCTTGTGTGCTACAGGATACTTGTTCATGACAGAGTTACCTCCCTTCGATTGTATGAACTGCTACAAGGTAAGAATATCCAGACCATCTACCTGACCAAATATGGTAAAGGTATAATATAGAGGTGTATGAAGTAAACTGAATGGTTTAAAGGGTAAAGTTAATAGATGATTTGGATCTGTTAATGGCTGCCAACTATCTGATTAGCTAGTTATATTATATAAGTTACACTGAGAGATATAATTATCTAAATAGACACTGTGCGTTATCAGGATATACATCATATATAACAACAGTATGGTATAATTCAACCTGGTGTCATATCAATATAATAAATCACAAATATTTATACATTTTATTTTTCTTCACTCTTAATTTAATTTTATAATTTATCCTTATCAGAACATAAATTTAACCCTGAATTCCATCCATAATGTGTGTGGTATAATTTAATCTCAATTCATATCAAATACAAAAAATCAAACTTATTTTTCTTCACTTTTAATTCAATTTTGTTAAAATATGCTTTAAAACATTATTACTTTGAGCAGCTATAAAAGAGAAATAGGGTTTAATGTCCACTCTACACAAACTAGGTTATTTTGGGACTGACATATAGTTCAATTTAATTTCAATCATTCAGTAGCGTGTAGGGGTCTTTAGCAGTGGGAGGAAACCGGAGGACCAGGAGAAAACCCATGAGGTTGGACAAACGACCACATTCCTTATCACAAGCGGTGAATTGAAACCATGCCACTTGACTGAATGTGGACTGGCTATAACTAGGGCTCCTTAGACCGCTCTGAACCACCCGATTTAAGAGAATAGCTGTGACGGCCCCAAGAACTAATAAACAGTCCTATAATATTGAGATCTGTCCAAGGATGTATATCAATTTTCTCTAAATTTCTTTACAGAACTAGGGTGCTATAGTCAATATTTACTTGCACCAAGTGCTAAATGTTTACGCTAATCTGTTCCTGTATTACTGGTCTTTGAGGTTTTTTTAGTATGTATTAAAAATTTTGAGTTTTTTTTTTAGTATGTATTAAAATTTGTATAAATGTTTAATCTACTAATGTCTAGTTTTTAAAAATGGGATTATTTATTTTGATGGGTAAAAAAAGTGAAATTGAGTACACTTTCTGACACCAGAGAGAGAGAGAGAGAGAGAGAGAGAGAGATGGGGGTACAGGTGCCCACCACACAAACTATGTCATTTCAGTATATTGATTGTAATATTTAACTGATGTATTATATTACAGTATACTGATAGTAATATTTGACTGATGTAATATATATTATGATATACTGATAGTAATATTTAACCGATATATTATATCTAATAGTAGTACCTGACTGATGTATATTTATAGTATACTGATATAATAGTAATATGAGTAGTAGAAGTACTATAGATCACATGTTGATAATCACAGTTATCTCTACTATAAGATAAACATCATTACATACCCCCTAGTGTAATAAATATTATATAACCTTATATATGTAATGGTATTTAACATTTCAACGACAATAGATTGAACATTTTGAGAATAACATGTAACTATTATTTTCTTTGGTCATGTCTTTGTGTGTGAAATGTTAGAAGAATTTTGCCCAGGCAGCATTTCTTCTGTTAACCCTTTGTAGAATTTAAACTGTCAAGGGATCTTTAACGTGCACTCAGCCCATTGAACTGACTAGGCAGCAATTTTTTTGGACAGCCCGATAGAAACCTGGCCTGATAAATCCCAATCACGTTTTCCAATCTTTATTAGGGGGCCACGGTGGCTTAGTGGGTAAGACGCTGGCTCGCTTGCCTGGAGGTCGGGTGTTCCATCCCTGCATTAGCCATGAAAGTTGATCGGGATTTTCCGACATGGTTTCCCCTTGTCAATGGTGCAGGACTGAGGGCCCGACAAGGACAGCTGTCTAGTCTTTTCGATGAGACGAAAAACCAAGAACCTGTGTATACATTGGCGTGCACATTAAAGATCCCTTGGCAGTTGGAATTCAATATGAGAGTAGGCCATAGTGCTGCTGCCTGGGCAAAATTTCCCTCATAGCACACTGTATGGTGTATGTTCATCTTCATTAGCCCAGTCGGAGCAGAATAGTAGGACGTTAAACCCCATTTCATTTCATTTCATTTCTTTATTAAACTGGTTGGTGCAGATAAGTAGGACATTAAACTACATTTCAGTTCAAATAATAATGGAAGTCGAGTAACATTTAAAACCGTATAATATAAACCAAGTTAAACTGTGCAAAAACATCGTAAAATCTATAATAACAATAATAACGCAGATAAGATCCCAAGAAAAACATTTTCATTTAACTTTTAGATACATGTATGTTGCAAGATTATTGATTTCCAGATCAACTCATTTGACATTTTCATAAAGTAAATCAAAAAAATATATATATTTATGAAGTAGAAGTTTTATATGAAAACAAAAGAGTTAGGAAATTACATTTTCATAAAAGAAAAATTAAAAAAAAGAAAAAAATTTGTAGCTCAGGTTAATCTGAAGAGTTAGGAATTTACATTTTGTAAATTAAAACCCATAATCTGGATGAAAAAGAATAAAGAGAGCAATCTGTTGTATCTATTGATGGTTCATGCACAACTCTGCATGAAGTTGATTAGTTAATTAAATACAATAAAGCCGAGTTTAGAAAAAAAGATATCTTTAATGTGCATTGTATATGGTGTGTATTGTCAGATTAGGCCAATATATCAATTCTTTGTTTCCCTTACACTGTAAATATTAAGTGCAGGGGGACTGCACCACATACAATTTCACAAAACAAGTCTACAGACAAGACACAATACGCAGAAATCACAAACAAACATACATATCAGATTAAGTGAATGGATCCGCGGGCTGGCGGTAAGCGTCAACTGCGCTGTACAGTCCCGGGCATGTAGTGATACATACTTCACTCAAAAATGAAAACTAACAATGAGGAGGAATATATCCCAAAAACATTGTGTATATTATATTGTTCACTTATGAAATGAAATGGAGTTTAACGCCCAACTGTTCTGCTTCTAACCTGGGCTAATGAAGACGGGCATACGCCATACAGTGTGCTATGAGGGAAATTTTGCCCGGACAGCGGCACTACGGCCTACTCTTATATCGAATTCCAACTGCCAAGGGATCTTTTACGTGCACGCCAATGTGTACACGGGACGTCGGTTTTTTGTCCCATCCGAACAACTAGACAGCTTTCCTTGTCAGCCCCTCCGTCCTGCATCACTGACAAGGGAGAACCACGCCGGAAAATCTGGATGAACTTTCTCGGCCAATGCAGGGATCGAACACCCGACCTCCAGGCTAGCGAGCTAGCGTCTTATCCACTTAGCCACGTGATCCCCCTGTTCACTTATGGAAATACTTGCTACAATTAGAGCGAAATGAGGTTTAACAGTTACTTCTTTTGACCAACATGGTTCAATTTTATTTCAATAATTTGCTTGCACATAGGGGTCTTTAACAATGGAAGGAGAGAGAGAGAAATAGGGTTTAACGACCACTCGACACAAACTAGGTCATTTCGGGACTAACATATGGTTTAATTTTATTTACATAATTCGCTTGCGCGTAGGGGTCTTTAGCAGTGGGAGGAAACCGGAGGACCCGGAGAAAACCCACGATGTTGGACAGGCGAAAAACAATGGAAGGAAACCTGAGAAAACCCAAGAGGTTGGACAGACGACCATACTCCTTGTCATGACAAGTGAATAATTGAAACCACGTCACTTGATTTAATGATTTAAACTACTAGATACATGACTATCACAACAGTTTGTTTTACGCCTCGACAATAGATCAATAAACTTAACTCAATCAATTTAAAATTCTTCCAATCCACTGATTTTATATCTTTTTTTTTTTTTTGGCCACATTTCCTCCAATCCACTGATTTTATATTTTTTTTTTTTTTTTGGGCCACATTTCCTCCAGTCCACTGATTTTATATCTTTTTTTTTTTTTTTTTTTGGCCACATTTCCTCCAATCCACTGATTTTATATCTTTTTTTTTTTTTGGGGCCACATTTCCTCCTTTCAACAAAATAGGATCAATGAACTTTTTCCAAGAATTAAACAAAAAAAATAATTTGAAAATTCTAGTTTATTTGGTTATAAATTCAGAAGGAGAGAGAGAGAAATGGAGTTTAACATCCACTCGACACAAACCAGGTCATTTTTGGGACTAACACATGGTTCAATTTTATTTCAATAATTCACTTGCGCGAAGGGGTCTTTAGCAGACAAGTACAAGCGAGGAATCGAAACCACGCCACTTGACTCAATGATTTAAACTATTAGATATATGATTATCACAGTTTATTTCAAGTTTTCTTTTTGCCATATTTCTTCCTTTCAACAAAAAGAGATCAATGAAATTTTTCCAACGAATTAAAAAAAACCCAAACATTTCAACATTCTAGGTTTTTTTGGTGATAAATTCGATCAACTATTTTTCATGGTAAAGTGGTAATGAGATCAAGACATCTTCAGTTTCAAATTAGATCCACTGGCAAGATTTTCAAACAAACAAGATAAATATTCGCATCAATGTCGACTTGATCTACTTCAAACTGGAAATTTTGGCAATGGGTTATGGATGGCGTGTCTGTCGGTTAATGGCATTAAAGCACTATTTATGTAGGTGTGAAGGTTACGGTGATGCACAAGTAAGCATGTCTTCGAAGTGGTGCATAAAAAAATGGGGCTGAAGTGGTGAAGAAAACAAATTTCCACTCAAACAAAGCTAAATCGTTTTGAAACCAACACAATGAGGGGAAGGAAATCCTTTGGGCGGGGGGGGGGGGGGGCATGGATGGGACGGGAAGACCCGGAGCAACAATCGCAACAAACACTTTGATCCACTCAAATAAAGCTAGATTGTTTTGAAATCAACACAATGTGGGGAAATCCTTTACCACTGAGAAGTTTGGGGGGGGGGGGGGGCATGGAGGGAGACAAATGGGAAACAATAGCAACCCTTTGATCCAACCCAGGGCCTCATACTGTGGTATAATTTGTTTACTACAACTGCATTCAGAGATCTTGCGATTAATTAAAAGGTCCTCGTCGTATTTCCTGATTAATATCTAACTTCTGTATCCACGACTAAGTTTTAATTGACAGAGCTAAGATCGCGGAGGTGCCTCAAAACAAATGAAATGTTGCTTAACGCTGTACTTTTCTGCACCATGCACTTTGCTATAAAGGACATTTTGCTTGGACAGTGGCGCTACAGCCTGCTCTTATTTCGAATTCGAACTATCAGGGGTTGCGTTACGTGTTTGTTACCGTACATATTGCCATGACATCACAACAACTAGACAATGTTTGGTGTCAACCCCTCTCGTCCTGCATCCTTAATAAGAGGCAACCACAGCTACAAATGTCATAAATTTTAATTTCAAAATCTGTGCAAAATACTCTTTCACACAAATTCTATATATTGATGTTTATTAAATATATTGTTCGTTCAATCTTTAAACATATTATATAACTACTATATTTCTCTATTATTACTAATATATCTATGGAAAGAGCTGATATTTGTTTCAAGCCTGTTGCTAAATCTCATTTATATATATATGAACAAAATACTATTAAAACATACATTATGCATTATTGCGGGTCTTTCTTTATCTAATCTCCCATAATTTATCTTTTTAAATCAATTCAAAATCTTTCCAGAACGAGAGAAATGGGGTTTAACATCCACTCGACACAAACTAGGTCATTTCGGGAATAACATGGTTTTGATTTTATTTCAATAATTCTCTTGCACGTAGGGTTCTTTAGCAGTGGGAGGAAACCGGAGGACCCGGAGAAAACCCACGAGGTTGGACAGACGACCCTACTCCTGGTCATGTACAACCAGGGATTTGAAACCATGCCAGTTGACTCAATAAAAGGCCTTATGATACAGCACGTAACTGCTAACCATTCGGCCATCCAACCCCCTAAAATCTGTCCAATATATAGCTGTAGGAGTATAGGTATGTGTATATATAGATAGTTTTATGGGTGTATATATGTATGTACATTGTTAGTTGTTGCTGGTACAGTGTTAGCATGTGACTATAAATAAACTAGTATTAACCCAAGCTGTTTTGTTTATTTTATGTGTTGCTACAGATCCATAAAGATCTAAACATCAAAAACTACAAAAAATACTCATAATTTATCTCTATTAACTATTACATGGCTACTAGCCAATTTACATGTTTCATCTACATGGGGGCATATTATTACATTCTGTTATTTAAGTCATGAAGCCATTTTTTGCATGTTGGAATAGAACCTTTTTAATGGTTAAGTACTTGGTTTAAGTGTGGAATTCTTTCAGTATCAATCTTAACACCAGTTTCTAATGGAGAAAGTATGATAAGTGTTTCAAAATGGTTCTAACAAGACAAGTTATAACGGTTCAAGAAACAGGCCACAATAAAGGTTAAATACGAGTTTAAGATCATACGCCATTTTTTTTTCTCTTAGATAAACATAGTGATAATAAATTCTCGGATTATCCACTACCCGTGTCTTTTTCCGTCATTTTTATCTCAGAAAGTGTTGTACATCTAACTCTTCATAAAGTTTATCAACTTGTACATCAAGCGCTCAATGTTCGCGTGTGACCTTTGACATCACGCGTGCGGAAATTCCTAATCGTCAGGCTGTTGATTAGGGGAACCCTTACATTTTTGTCCTGTATATTCACTCCAGTATTTTTTTTAGTAAGATTGGATATCTCTACTTTCCATATATACCAAAATTACCATACTTTTATTGGAAATAACCACCCGATAAATACTTTTCTGGGAACCCATCTTTAATCTAGAATATATTTTTGACTTTTGAAATATGAATGTACATGTATGTGGCTAATCTGATTTGATATTCCTTTAAAGGGACAATAACACTCTTGCTGGCTTGAAAGCTCCAGAAAATAAATAATGTCTCTATCTAAGTACTAGATGTTTAAGTGTCCTACCTGTTGTGTAAATTATCCATTACATCCTATTTTACTTGTCCAGAGGGTTCGAAAATATTTTTAAATCGAAGTTTCATTTGAAAAGGTTTACGTTAGACATTTCAAACCATTATGTTGAATTTTTCAAAATTTTTAAATAAGGTGTGTTAAGATGAAATTTGTATCATCAATTAATTGGAATATTGTAAAATAGTACAATTTGTTGACCAGAATAAAGATTGGGACATATTATTCAGTTACAACAAGAGTAGTATTGAGTCTTTAAGCAACTGGAAGAGAGGATCTACACCAATTAGAAATGAAATTGGGTTTAACGTCCTGTTCTTTTCGCCGACTGGGCTAATGAAGACGGGCATACGCCATACAGTGTGCTATGAGGGAATTTTTGCCTGGACAGCTGCGCTACGGCCTACTCTTTTATAAAATTCAACTGCCAAGGAATCTTTTAAGTTCAAGCCAATGTGTACACGGGACCTCAGTTTTTTGTCCCGTCCGACGACTATACGTTGTCCTTGCCAGGCCATTGGGCCTGCACCACTGACAAGGGCTACACCCAATTAGGCCATGCCTAGTAAAAATTCTGCTTGTTTTTTTCTACATAATAAAAAAACAATTTAAAACTAAAGAGTACTTTTTCACAAGGATGGCCAAAGAATTAAAAATTCAAATGGGTTTAGCCTTAATTTTGTATATTTTTCAAAATATGCCCAGTTTGTTTGGTCTTGGGGTTTAACTTTTTTTTCCTGTAAAGGTGATATTTCAGACAGAAAAACAAAATGTACATTTCTTGTAACATTTTTTAAATTTAAAAACTTACCGATTTCAGTGTTAAGTCCAGTTCCAATAACGATACCACGGCATTTACCAGCAGCAATGTTAGTTCCCTAAAATATTAAAATATAATTCATTATTATAACGTTAGCCTCAAGCCACTGATGATAACTTTTTAACCCCTTCAATGCACATTAGCCTCAAGCGATTGATCATAATTTAAAGGATTTTGATTCCCTTGCAAACTATAATATTGTGAAACAATCAAAATATGGTTCATTTTTCATTCAGTATTTGTAAAAGATATGAATTTAAAATTTTGCAAGATTTGGCATCTCCTACACACGACATAAAATGCAATTAAATGGGGTTTAACATCTTTCGGTTCTAATGAAGACGGACATATCCCATACAGTGTGCTATGAGGGAAATTTTGCCCAGACAGCGACACTACAGCCTACTCTTATATCGAATTCCAGCTGCCAAGGGATCTTTTACGTGCACATCAATGTGTACACGGGACCTCATTTCTTTTGTCACATCCAAACGACTATCTGTTGTCCCTTGCCAGGCTCACTGTCCTGCACCACTGACACAAGGAGGAACCACGCCAGAAAATCCTGATGAACTTTCCCGGCCAACGCAGGGATCCAATACAGGGCCACCAAATTAGCGAGCCAATGTTCTACTCAATGAGCCACCATGGCTCCCCACACCACACACACAAGTGTTGACTGCAAGCCAGCAGATTAAAAGCACTTAATAGTTTGGTTTTTGTTTTCTTAAAATGTTTAATAATCAATTTGTATATTGCTTAACATAGATTAAACTGTGAAAAAATCAGATGTCCGAAAAATGCACAAGAAAATCAGCGCTTTAAAATTTTATATCAAGAATTAATTTAGCGACAGTAAAACCTGTGAACACGGATCTTAACATTAAAGTAAAACATGCCTCTCGGCTCTTTTTAGATCTTCTACATCAAGACATTCTTCTCATCTAATAAAAGAGCCCGATCAACCAGAATTCGTGATCTTTTTGGTTTTACTCAACCACAAGATATCTAACAGCTTACATCAGAAGATAATAAAATGATTCAAAGAACACATTCATCCATTTACTTGACGGTCTACTGTTGCATAAAATGAAATGCCAGAGTATTCAGGATGTATTCGCATGTAGAGAGATGTACAAACCAAGACAACCATAGCGATTTTCTTAAAGGTCTATTGTTGCATAAAATGAAATAGGAATCCTTACTGATGCAATGAAATAAAATAGGGTGTAACATCCTACTGTTCTGCTCTAACTGGGCTAATGAAGATGGGCATTCGCCATACAGTGTGCTATGAGGTAAATTTTGCCCAGACAGCGGCACTATGGCCTACTCATACATCAAAATCCACTGCCAAGGGATCTTTTACATGTACACCAATATGTATACATGGGGCCTTGGTTTTTTGTCCCATCTGAATGACTAGACTGCTGTCCTTGTCAGGCCTTCCGTCCTGCACCATTGACAAGGTGAAACCACACCGGATATAATACAAAGAGAGAGAGAAAGAGAAATGGGGTTTAATGTTCACTCGATACAAACTAGGTAATTTCGGGACTAACATATGGTTAAATTTTATTTCAATAATTCGCATGCGCATAGGGGTCTTTAGCAGTGGGAGGAAACCGGAGGACCCGGAGAAAACCCACGAGGTTGGACAGACGACCCTACTCCTTGTCACGTACAACCGAGGAATCGAAACCACTCCAGTTGACTCTATGACAGGCTTTATGATACAGCACGCACATGCTAACCATTTGGCCATCCAACCCCCCTAATACAAAGAGAAGCATGGAGATACTTACAGAGAAGAGGATGTTTTTCTTATCTTGATTGACAGCTCGAGGATCTGGGACAGCTTCTGTTTGTTTTAATACACTAACACTCTCACCAGTTAGAATAGCTTGATCAACACGAAGGGTTGTAGACATAATAGCTATTACTCGAACATCAGAAGGTACTTTGTCACCAACTACAAGAATATTATAATATATTGACAAAGAAGACTGACTCATTAAATCTGCCTATTGCAGATCTGTCTTTAGACCTGAAATGTTATCTAAATTATTAATTAGACATTAATTAACTTATCCAGACCATAATCAACTCCTGATGTCACCGCTAGCCCACGATATTTACTGGATTAGGATCCGATCTTCTGCTCAATGCTCATTCATGATTATATCAAGAAATGGATAATCAAGACTGTTTTTTATCGTACCGACTTTAGTAATGATGATCGAGGCTAAGCTCAAAATTCAAACACTAAATTCTCGGTTCAGAGTGGATCAACCTGACTGAAATTTTCATCAATCTAGCTGCCAGCTCTTTATCTAATCTCCCATAATGTCTCTTTAAGTCTTCAATCCCCATTCTTAAAATGGTTGATAATACAGGGCATGTGTAATCAGAATTATACTGACATATCTTTCCATTTAATTTACTTGTTTTCATCTTAAGACTATCAATATTCTTTGTAGGGTATAGATTGTGATTGGTCAACTCCAGATACACAACATGTAACCTACCAATCAAAACTGTCAATAGATAAAGTTCCCCAAATCTTTTAGAAGTCTTTGATTATTGAGACCTTTGATTGGCAGTCTTTTTTCTTAAAAAGATGACAAACTCATATCCTTAACTTACCGGAAATTTCAACGAGATCTCCGGGCACCAGTTTACTTGCCCGGATTCTCTGAACACCTTTGTGGTTCTGTCGTACAACTTTAGCGATTTCGGGTTCATATTCTTTGAGAGCTTCAATGGCACTTTCTGCATTTCGTTCCTACAATAACAATAGAATGAGGTTAAATTTCCTGACAAATGTTTTTCAATTTATCAAAAAACAAATTTGACTCCATCAAGAACAACTCTGGTCTAGTCTGTTAAAACTTAAATACTTTAGAAATGCGCCAAAGAATCGAACGCATGCTCTCCTGGTCAAGTGTGTTAGAGTGTCCAGGAATTTGAGCAGCGGAGGGTTAAAGGTGGGGACAACGTCAAGTTTGGAGTTGGGATGGGAGGGGGAGAGACTACCCATGAATTTGGTAAAATCAGAAGCTGTCAGACAATATTACTGCTGCCTTAGATGCATGTATGTGATTACAGTGGAGCGTGTCAAAACTTCACGAGTCAGTTTTTTTAACGTTATTTCCTTGAATGTAGGAGAAAAAAGATAAAAAAAATAAAGCTTTGTGCCAACAGAGGGGGTGAGGGGCAGACATCATGCCACCCTCTGAACATGTGCCTCTGTGGTGAAGGCTTCTATTAATTACTGTGAATGTTCAACATCTGTGATATTCCTCGTTTCAATTTTCTTTTAACAGTATGGGGGGGGGGGGGGATGGAATCAGATTTTTTTTCTGGTTTTCTTGTAAATATAAACTAAAAGTATGTACATGTACTAACCTGCCAGACACCAACAATTGCATTGGCTATTAAAATAGTTAAAATAACAAAAGGTTCAACAAAAGCTGTTACTTGTTCTTCAGTTTCTTCAAACCAAGCTAAAACCTGAAATAATAAAATACATCTTGTTTAAAAGGCAGTCAGTAATTTACAAGAATAAAACTAAAACAAGCAGAGAAATGTCTAGATTAGACAATGAGTGCAGGGCTGTCGGTAATTTTTCACAGATGATTAGCAGCACTGCTAATTAAAAAGTCCAATTTTGCCAAATTTGATTAGCAAATTTAAAAATCGATTAGCAGTTTTTCAGTTTCAACATAAAACACCTAAATTAACAAGATTATTTTAATTTTAATTTATAACAAATGATTAGATTTCATTCTTAAGATTTTTTAGAATTTTAGCACTTCTACAGGTAGCTGTGAACATTTCTGAATGAATGTAGACTTTTGGTTAGGCCTTATGTCTGAAGTCAATTCTTGGCAGTGGCTTCTTATTTCTTCGTTAGAAAACCATTTCATCTGCTTTTTATCATGTGTTATTATTTTTGTTCAATCGGAAGCACACGGTATTTCACGAATAATCTCGATTAACTAGACGCACGTGATATAAACAATAATAGTTTACGGGAATTCTTACTTTGATTTCTCATTTTACAATACGTTAACACGTATTTATATTTTATTTACAATTTGTTTGGGATACACTGAATTTATTTTTTTCGAATTGAATACTGATATAATTACTCGAAATTGACATGTCTCGCAACGTGAGTGGTACTACTTGATTCCCTATTTCCGGTTTAACAGTCCCGATTCATAGAGTTATGTCCCTGTATTATATAGTATAATGAATTGAGTCTGGGTAGTTCGAGAAGAAAATGTCAAACAGAGAATTCCGTTTTGTTTATAAAATTTATTTGATATTTTATATACGTTAGGGTTGAGAAATGTGGATAAATCTTTGTGACAATATCCGAAATGACAGGCATGTTAATGATTCGCAGTTACTGCGAATCAAAAACGTTAGATTTTAATTTTTGATTAGCAACGGACAAAATATGTATCGCAAATTGCGCTGCGATACTGGTTGTCGCCTGAATGAGTGTTGTGTTTACGAATGTTTACTTTCACTAGCAGTGTTAAGTAATCAATTATTGATCTGTTAGAGGTGTAACTGGATAGAGCAATAAATTATAACACATACTTATGGAAGAACAATTACTGATTTATATAGGCGATGTTTCAAAGAGTATTATCTCAATGTTGAGAGAACACTCTTCGAAACGTCGACTAAATAAATCAGTAATTGTTCTTCTATAAGTGTGTGTTATAGTTTATTAAACATACATTATGCAAGATCTAATAAATCAGTAATTGTTCTTCCGTAAGTGTGTGTTATAGTTTATTAAACATACATTATGCAAGAGCTAAAATCTGCCAATTGCAGGTCTTTCTTTAGGCCTGAAATGTTATCTAAATTAATTAACTTATCCAGACCATAATCAACTAGTGATGGCATCGTTAGCCTACGATATTTACTGGATTAGCAGAACCTGGTCTGCTGCTTCTGATTAAATCAACAAAATGGATAATCAAGACTTTTTTTTATTGTACCGACTTCAGTAATGATGATCGAGGCTAGGCCCATAATTCAATCGCTAAATACTCTGTTCAGGGTGGATCAATTTGACTGAAATTTTCAGCAAATTCCCATTACATTATATAATTTTAACTATCATAGTGAGAACTACCAGTTCTTTATCTAATCTCCCATAATGTATCTTAATCAGTCTGAAAATTACTCATCACCGCTAATAATCTAGATCTAATCTAGATGAACTATTTTAAACTACATGAACAATGAACCCAATATTGTTTGATGATTCTCACTGATTTACTAATCTAGATGTAACTATTTTAAACTACACCACAAGGAACCCAATATTGTTTGATGATTCTCACTGATTTACCAATCTCCTAACAATGGATTGAAACTAAACATTAAATACAGAAACTTCTGTTAAAACAGCACAACTACATGACACCCAAGTTGTAATGATAAAAGCCAAGTAATTGTTAATCCATATACACATAGTTATACACATAAAATACATGTTTACGTTTAATACCAAGTATGCAATCATTTCGAGATTTTAAATGCATTTTTACACTTAGAGAATTGCTTGTGTTAAAATACAGAAGAGTTTCAATTTTCTCATCACTATACCAAAAAAAATCTCCCAAGCTCCTACATCTGTAGATCTTCAAAACCAGAAACCTATTACACTAATCAAATTAACAGAGTTCTACGAGAATATATCAAAATAAAAGAGATAATTGTACAATTATCACCTGTCAGACTTCAATTAGAAACATTTCGATTCATCACTTCAAAAGCCTTACAAATAAATGATAATAATTGATTATGGCTGAAAACAATTTACTTAGATAATATTTAGACCAACATATTCATGAAAGGTAGAATCATAGCTTGCTAGGTAACAAAAATCATGAAATATGGTTTAAAATCCTACTTTTCTGCTCCAAGTCGGCTAATGAACCTAGTCATACAGTGTGCTACATATACATTGTATGTGCAAAATTTTTCCCCAGTGGAGCCACACATGTACATATCACATTTCAACTGTCAAGGGTTCTTTTTAACTTGAACGCCAATGTGTACATGAGATCAATATAAGTTTAAAGATACATTATGGGAGATTACACGTAGATAAAGAGCTGGCAGTTCTCACTATAATAGTTAAAAACTAGATACATGTAATGTAAAGGAAATTTTCAAACAAATTACAGTCAAATTGATCCACTCTGAACCGAGATTTTAAGGATTGAATTTTCGGCCTAGCCTCGATCATCATTACTAAAGTCAGTACGATAAAAAACATAGTATCGATTATCCATTTCATGATAGTTGAGCAGCAAATGGTATCCTAATCCAGTAAACATCGCAGGCTAGCGTTGACATCGAGAGTTGATTATGGTTAGTAAGTTAATTAATGTCTAATTAATAATTTAGATAACATTTCAGGCCTAAAGAAAGACCTGCAATAGGCAGATTAAGCTCTTGCATAATGTATGTGTAAGAAAGCTTGGATCATAATTGAAGCCTCACAACAAATAAAAACCTTCAGAATTAATAGGCTTCTTTAAATTTAACAAATTCAAAAATATATGGATTATATTGTGACCGATAGACCGACAAACTATGTACATGTATGCTTGGTAATAAAAATAGGATTTAATGTTCACAAAAAACTAGGTCCACATGAATGAAGATGAAACTAGAAGTTGGGTCAGACTGATAAGACGACTGTCCATGTTAGCCAAAGTCATACAGAGGATCAATTCCAGAACCATATCGGTGATAAAAGATTCACACTTAGACCATTCTGTCACCTAAATCCATTTTTAGCGCGAGTGATGAGGTCATATTGTAGTCTACATCGACAACTTAATACATTATAGCATTAACATGAGGTTAAGAACATTCTCAGCTAATTTAGAAAGATTTACAAGTCTCTCAATCTGATTTATGTTTCGTTTCGTCTTTTTATGTTTTTGATGGCCTCCACTACATGACGATCTATGACATCAGACATTTGATTAATCAAAACGAAATGAAATGGGGTTTAACGTCCTACTGTTCTGCTCCTAAACTGGGCTAATGAAGACGGGCATACGCCATACAGTGTGCTATGAGGGAAATTTTGCCCGGGCAGCAGCACTACATCCTACTCTTATATCGAATTCGAACTGCCAGGGGATCTTTTACGTGCATGCCAATGTCTACACGGGACCTTGGTTTTTCGTACCATCCGAACGACTAGACAGCTGTCCTTGTCAGGCGATCCCTGCATTGGCCGAGAAAGTTCATCCAGATTTTCCGGCGTGGTTCTCCCTTGTCAGTGATGCAGGACGGAGGGGCTGACAAGGAAAGCTGTCTAGTCGTTCGGATGGGACGAAAAACCGAGGTCCCGTGTACACATTGGCGTGCACGTAAAAGATTCATTTGTCCTTGTCAGGCCCTCCGTCCTGCATCACTGACAAGGGGAAACCACGTTGGAAAATCTGGATGAACTTTCTCGGCCAATGCAGGGATCGAACACTCTGCCTCCAGGCTAGCGAGCCAGCGTCTTACCCACTTAGCCATGTGATCCCCTTGCTTTACAAGTCTTCGCTGCAAATGTCTACCCATGGTTACGTGCAATGCAGGCTAAGAACTCTCCACAACAGATATTAGCAGCTTTAATAACATGAAAAAAGAATTGCAGACACATGGACCTAGAATTGTTTTTTTACTGGAAGCATTGAAATGTGTATCATCGACACTAACTAATTGGTAAGCTAGACACAGCTTCCTTTGGTTTTTTTTAAAAACACGAAATTACTAGAATACACAGACATAATGTATATTGATTCTAGAAGTCACGAAAGAAAAAACATTAATATAACCAGGATAAAACATGAAATAAAATAGGCTTTATAACGTCCTACTGTTCTGCACTGACTTAGTGCCGGACATATATTTATAATCTCAATAAAAAAGACAAATCAGTGCACTGACTGAGCTAATGTGGACAGGCAAGCCTGGAAATAAGGCACATGTCACAGATAATGTTAGGTACAGATTCAGGCTTTGTCAGGCACAAATCTTCTGGTGCCTGTCATTTTTTCCGGCACTGATTTGTCTTTTTTATTGAGATTATAAATATATGTCTGGCACTAAGTTGAAAATGTCAGGTACTATTTCATTAGTGCCTGACATTTTGTCAGGTACATCTAAAACCGTTATTTCCAGGCCTGTCTACAGGCCTATGTCATACAGTGTGCTATGAGGGAAAATTTGCCTGGACAATGGCACTACAACCTACTCTTATTTTGAATTCCAACTGCCGAAGATTCGTTCACATTTATGCCAATGTGTACGTAGAACCTTGTTTTTTTGTCCCATCCAAACAACTAGATACGGTCCTTTCCAGGCCCTCTGTTCTGTCCCATTGACATGATAAAACATGACCAATAACCTACACTATTTGTAGTGAAAATTACTGAATAAACAATGGTGGGATAAATTAAATAGAAAGC